GTGTTGTCAATCATTTTTTAAAAAACTTACCTTATGGAACTGGAGAGATGGCTCAGTGGCTGCTCTTTCAGAGGACTTGGGTTCAATTTCGGGCAACCACATGGTGACTGGCAACTGTCTATAACTTTAGTTCCAGGGGATCCGGTGTCCTCTTCTGTTCTTTGGACACAAGGTACACAAACACGCAGGCAAAATACCTACACAAGCCGAGTGGTGGGGGGGCACACCTTTAATCCCAGCACTTGGGAGACAGAGGCAGGTGGATCTCTGTGAGTTTGAGGCCAACCTGGTCTACAGAGTGAATTCCAGGACAGGCTCCAAAGCTACACAGAGAAATTCTGTCTTGAAAAATCAAAGAAACTAAAAAACAAAACAAAACAAAAACCAAAAGCACCCACACACATGCAAAAAAATGTTCTCTTGCATATGGTAAGTAGTTATCTCTCTATATATAGTAGTTTATTTATTTGTTAATAGTGATCATTACTAAACATAATTATCATTACTAATATTTATTGCTTTAAAGCACTTTACAATTACAAGGAACCTGAAAGGTGGTAGTGGCGCATGCCTTTAATTCTAGAACTCAAAAGGCAGAGCCAGACAGATCTCTGTGAGTTCAAAGCTAACTTGGTCTACAGAATGAGTTCCAGGACATCTAAGGCTACACAGTAAAATCATGTCTCAAACAAACAAACAAAAAACAAACAACCCCACAAAACCCTACACTTACAAAGAACCTCTATAAGTGTATGTTATTTCATTGAGAATTATATCATTCTAACATACGAGTATTTTCTGTGGAATCGGTGAACTTTTACACTTGGGAGATGCTGTAATTACTTGCTCCATTGATTGGAGTTGCAGAAGAGGTATAAGTCTGAACATTAACTATCACTGGCTATTTGTAGATCCTGTCCTTAGAATCACCTCTAGCCACTCCGCAGGCCTTGGGGGCGGGGGTCAGTAAGCTAAGACATATAACTAGGAAAGTTGGGAGGTCCCTAAAGTCACACAGAACAAATGGAGAATTTCAAACTCCTGACCAGGGAAGCCTAAATGAAGATTTAAGGACAACAATAAAATACATAGAAGAACATGCTTTCATATTAACCTGTCCCGTTTAGATAAGAAATGTCCTTTATGGGCTCATGTGTTGGACTTGTTTGCCAGCTGATGGACTTTTGGGAAGTGATTGCATTCTGAGGGCTCTGGTCTAATCAATACATTTATCCCTTGATAGATTCATAATGTGATGACATTATTGGAACATGGTGAAAGGGAGGATGTAGGGCCTAGTTGGGGAGAGTATGTCCCTGTGGCGTGCCTTGGGCAATGCATCTTGTCCTCTGCTCCTTCCTCTCTCTCTGCTTTCTATTAGACAACAAGCAAATGCCTTTTACCAAACCACCCTTAAGTTCTGCCTCTCCTCATGGCCAAAGCAATGGAGCTAAGGATCAAAATTTCTGAAACCCTGAGTCAAAACATGGACTGCTTTTCCCAAGTATTTTCTCGCAAGTACCAGCACTTGTAGGTGTTCAGTTCCACCCTTACAAATTAGCACGGTGGAGGCTCCAGCAAGAAAAGCGACTTTCCCAAAGCTACACAGTTATTTTTGTTTGTTTGTCTGTGTTTGTTTTTGTTTTTCGAGACGGGGTTTCTCTGTGAAACAGCCCTGACTGTCCTGAACTTGCTCTGTAGACCAGGCTAGCCTCGAACTCACAGAGATCCGCCTGCCTCTGCCTCCCAAGTGCTGGAATTAAAGGCGCGCGCCAAAGCTACACAGTTAAGAGTAGGATTCAAACCCAGCTTTTCAGATTTTAAGTCTGGAGAATAGAGAAGAAGCAGAGCGTAGAGACAGAAAGCGGTTTACTCGGTTTCTCATGTCTACCATTTGCTTATATCTTTCACAAATCATTCTCTTTGTTCCTCCCCTTAACTTTTCCCATCTGCTTCTGTTTGTCTCCAGAGTCCCTACCTTTTCTCTTTCCACCTTCTCGCCTTTTGTCTACCTATATTGCACCTGGATTTGCTTTACAGAAAAAAAAAAAAAAGACTCGTTTTTTGCCTTCATGGAGGTGCAGTGTCACAAACTTTGCCTCTTCTTCGTTTATCTCAGTTTTTTTTTTTTTTTTTTCCTCCCATTGGTGTCACTGGTTAGCTTCTCAGTCTAGGCTGTGGACTGGCGACGCAGTAGGAAATAAAGAGGCATAGCTGCATTTCCCCAGGCAGCCACGAGGAGCCACCCTCCTCCACTCTGAAGCTCCGGCCAACGCAGCCTGACTCTTGCCGGTGCGCGCCCTCCGCCGATTGGCGGGACCTCAAAGAAGTCGCACTTTGATTGGGCCGCTGTCAGGTGTCGCTGCCTGCAGGTTCGGCTGCGCGAGCGGAGGGAGGCGGGTGAGTGCGGGCCGGGGGCGGTGGGGGAGTGGCTGGGGCTGGGGGCGGTATCGGGGAGGGTGGGCTCGGCGAGGAGCTTGGCCTGCGCCCGGGGCCGTGGGTAGTCCCGGGTGGGGATATCTTCGGAGGGAGGCGCAGCCGGGAGGCCTCAATGTCAGCCTAGGGAGAGCGAGGCGGGGACGGCGGGGGCGGGCAGAGGCGAGTGCGGTCAGGATGGGAGGGCGGGATTCGTGACCCGACGCCTTGAGAGAGAGGACGGCCGAGCGGGTCAGTGGGAGAAGAGACTGGTGTGGAGGGGTCTGCAGGAGGCATAAGGGGACCCCCGGGAAGATGGAAGGCTTTCAGAGACAGGGCTGGGGGACTCTGGGAGGAGGGGCGGGGCTGGATCGCAGGGGAGGGGACCGAGGTAAAGGGTCGTGCGCGAGAAGCCGAGGGAAGGGAGGACCAGCGGGCGCTGGAAGCTGGCGGAGGGAAGGAACTGGCTGGCCAGGGGAGAAGGTCTGCTGAGGAATGGATTACTGTGGAGAGGTGAGCCTCCAGAAGGGCTAGTCGGAGGAAGGGAGCTCTCGTTATAGGGGATCCTCGCTGTAAGGGGCCATTAAGTGTTCATCATCAAGGGAGTGATGCTATCCAGTGTACCCTGGAGGCTGAGGCAGGAGGATTCTAAGTTCAAGGCTATCCTGTGCTACTTAGAGCCTGTCTCAAAAAAAAAAAAAAAGTGTTAGTAAGTGTGATGACTCATGTGCAGGTTTGAAGTGTTGTTTACTTCTGGGAGTCCCTGAGTGGGAGAATTGGCTGGATTTGTTGCATTAATTGAACGGTGATTGTGGTGCAGCGGTCAGTGTGGGGAGTAAGGTTAGGGGAGTCAGTGAAGAGCCATTATCACAGATTGGGGAAAGAAGGCGGGATGAGTGAGCGACACTGAGAACGGCAGGCAGCAGATGGTAGACTGTTGTCAGAATAAGGAATATGTCAGAAACATTCACGTCGCCTGCGGAAGGAAGTGGGAAGCAGGCAGAGAGGCCCACGCCAGTGATCCCAACACTTGGGAGACTAAGGGAGGATGATTGCCATGAGTTTGAGGCCAGCCTGAGCCACCGAGTGAGACACTGCCTCCAAACAATGGGGGAAGTTGAGGCAGGGAGGGGTGGGGCGGGACTTCACTTTTGAAGGTGAGAAGTGGTGGAGTGAGGAGTTTCTCTGTTGGTTTCCTTTGGCTATTGTTGGAGCAAAATGTCTATCACATGCAAGGTGATGCCAAGAAATTAGAGGTTCCTGCAGACTGCCCTCCACTCTTAAGAGCTGAAGAAGTTACAGTTCACTGTTGCCCTAGCCCTCTCCAGATCTAATTTAGCGTTGGTGCTCTCTAGATTGCCTTCTTGTTTCCTCCAACCCTTTCCCTCCCTTCCAAAGTAAGACTGCCCTTTAGCCTGGTGTAGAACCTGTCGCTTTCTTATGCAACAAAGCTTGGGGAGAACATGAAGGGGAAAGAGCACAGAAAACAGGAAAGTGGTTTTTGGGAACACCACATTAAAACCCCAGCCTCTCCCAGAAGTACATCCAAATAAACCCTGGCTTTGTCATAGCTATTCCTGCCAGGCTTCTTTCTATTTTTGCTTTGTTAACTATGAATTTGGACCTTCATCTCCTTTCGGTCTGTGTGTGTGAACAGACTTCTCCATCCTGTTATCTCCCGTCACAGGGTTCTAGTAGAATTCCAAGAGCACGGCTGGATATTGTTGAGAAACAAACAGACAGACAGACAAACAAACAAACAGGGAAGACTTAAAGGGCAACTGGAGAAGGAATCTTAGACGTCGGGAGAACTCCCGTTTCAGAAAAGGCACAAAGAACGTGATGAAATTCTAATTGGGGAAGTTGTGAGGTATCTTTGGGAATGTCACGGTTAGGTCACTGACAGGGAATTCAGAGGGATGGTCTGTCAGTCAGGAGGAGTGGTGTCTGCAGATGGCCTGCAAACTGGAAAGGTCAAATAGAAGAATGTTTTGTCTTGTGGTTGAGATGGGGAGGGCCGAGATGACCAAGGTCTATAGGAATCTATTATTTTCTAATCAAAGCTGCAACCCTCATTGTAATGGCAGATTTTAAAATTAAAATGGAGAGAATAATTATGGAAGCCTTTAAAACGCTGTACATTAACTAATTCGCAAAAGGCGTTCTTGGCTTCCTTGGGGCTGGCAGTGTTTCTGAGAACTTCTATGGAACATGGAAAATTTCTGTTGAGTGACTCCATTTTATTTTTGGAAAATAATAATAGTTGCTCATACCCTTACAATTCATTATTAGCAAATGCTAGCTTTGTGTGTGTAAGCTTCCCATCTTTTGGAGTTTTGAAAATAGACATTTATTTATAGGCAAGGCTGTATAGGTATCGCTGGAAACTCACCACCATTCCCGCTTTTCTTCAAATGTAACTACTGTTACAGATTCGATGTCTTTTCAGTCCATTTTTAAAATTATGCCATTTTAAAAATTATATATTTTGTTTTGTTTAGGGGCAGGTCTCACTGTGTAGTTCTGGCTGGCCTGGAACTCACAATGTAGACCAGGACAGCTCTGAACTCACAGAGATCTCCCTGCTTCTGCCTCCCAAGTTCAGGTACTGAAGGCGTGCACCACCACACCCAGATTCAGTCTTTTAAATGGCTACTAACTGGGGGCTGGAAAGATGGCTTAGTGATTAAAACCCCCTGGTTGTTCTTTCAGGGGACCTGGGTTCCATTCCCGGCACGAATGTGTACAGAGACAGCTGCCGGTAGAACACCCATACATATCAAAGAAATGCTGGAAATCAGCAACAGTAACAAACCAACAATGAGCCTGTACTAACTGCGTGTGCAGTCATAAATAGCACGTGTTTATATTTATGCAAATGGTTGTGCTCCGTGTTTACCTTGGGCATTTGCACTTGGAAACTGTTGCATATAGCTTACATGTATAGTGTGTATGTTTGTGGATCCATAGCACACATGTGGAAGTCAGAGGACAACCTGTGGAAGTCAGTTTCTGCCCCCCACAACCCCCATCCCCACCAGGAAGCTCCTAGGGTTCAAACTAAGATTGTTAGGCTTGGCAGCAAGTACCACCATCTGATCCATCTTGCTGGCCCTCATTCATTTTTAAAATCTGTTTTTTTGGGGTTTTTTTTTTCCTGTATACTACATCAGAATTTACCATTCTTCTCCTTATGGCATCTGGATTGTTCTTAGTTTTCCCCCTAGGCAACAATGAGACAGAGAAGGGAAGAATGTCCTTGTGTGTGTCCACGTGGATAGGGGAGTTTTACCACAGCCTATCCACCTCGGTGCTGCCAACAGTTTGGGATGGGTAGATGCTGAGCTAGCATGTACATTTTAGAATTTCTTGTGGCCTTCCTGCCGTCTGCTTACTAGAGACCAGTGTGGTACTTTCCGGTTCTAGTAACCAGGAATGTTGCCTGACGGATCTCTCTCTGGTGCCACAAAATCACTAGAGTTTCCATTAACACTCGAGGCATATGCACGTAGAGTGGAACTGCCAGCTAGTTCTGATCCAAATTCACAAGATGTTTTCACCAGGGTGGCCTTAGTTAGGACGTCCTTTCCAGTGTAGCTGCTGCTATAACAGAGCTTGTCTTAGGCCAGCGTTGGTCTTGCAGTACTGAAGGACTGGATGGACCACTGAGATTGTAGTTCGAACGGATTGAGAACTGCTGTGTGAATGTTTACCCTCAACCCTCAGTCAGCACCAGACTTCCCTGCTTGAACTGATTCTCTGGATTTGGATATCTTTTTTTCAGGTGATGTGGGTGAAGGAGAAAGGGCAAGCCCAGATGTTAGTGTCCTGAGGCAATGCTTAGCATGGAGGGTGTCCTGGAGAAATGTATCTTGAGCTAATAGCAGGAAGTAATGAGGATGGTGTTTAAAGGCAGATCTTTGGGGTTGTAGCATCCCTTTGCCCTTGAGTCGAATCCTTGACTGTGCTTGGGGAGGCACTGGGGGAGGTGGAGAGGGCTGGGGACATTGTGGAATGAATCCAGCGTTTGACATAAACGTCACTCTAACCTTTTCTTGGTAGGAATCAACAGTAGCCTTCCTTGGAGAACTGCTTCTTCTATTTGCTGCCTGGAGTTAACATTGTTTCCTGCTGGCAGAATCAGGGACATGCCAGCACTGTAAGGCTTAATCTCCTGATCCTCTTACCAGTTCTCGGCTGGGGTGGGGTAAACAGGGGAGAAAAGGGGTCCTTGCTTTGTTCTTACTTCTCTTGAGCCATGTCAAATCGTAGTGCAGTTTCCTTTCTTATGGGTCCTTTCCATCGCTTTCTTTCTGTTTCCTCTTGTACCCGTGTAGTTCCCTCTCATTGTCTAGTTCCCTGTACCCCATCCCTACCCACTGTAAGGGCGCTGGATTCTAAGCTGATGGGGTGCTCACTTCTGCAGAGCGGGATGAGTGGGTGTTCCGGCGGGGATGTGGTCATTGACGGCCCATGAGGACGAGAGCACTACGGCCCACTTCTTCCTCGGAGCTGGAGATGAGGGCTTGGGTACCTGTGGAATAGGCATGAGGATGGAAGAGAGTGACAGTGAGCTCCTTGAGGACGAGGAGGATGAAGTGGTAAGTCTAGGGAAAGTGATGTAGCTTGGTGTTGGCGCCCCTGCCCCTAGAGAACTGATACTGCACTGGTTGGACACACCGGTTCTTTGCAGGCACAGACTCCCTGTAGTCAACAGGCTCTATCCTGATGAGGGGAGGGGCCATAGAGTTTGGTCAGTTGCCTCTCTCTGACACCCGTTCTCAAATATCCTCCTCCTGTTGTCTTCTGGTCACTGCTGCTTCTTTTGAAGAAGCACATTCCCTACAGGCTTTCTTCTCTAGTAGGCATCCTTTATCCCTCAGGTCCAAAGTCCTGACTTTCAGAAACTGCCTCAGAAAGATGTGACAGTGTTGGAGGTGACGGATGTGGGAACCTGGAGTTCCTGATAGCACTTCTTTTCTGTAGCCTCCAGAACCTCAGATTATTGTTGGCATCTGTGCCATGACCAAGAAATCCAAGTCCAAGCCAATGACTCAAATCCTAGAGCGACTCTGCAGGTTTGACTACCTGACTGTTGTCATCCTGGGAGAAGATGTCATCCTCAACGAACCTGTGGAGAACTGGCCGTCCTGCCACTGTCTCATTTCTTTCCACTCCAAAGGTTAGGTCTGGGAGGGAAGGGTGGCCGTGGGGGTGCTGGTTTGGGGATGGAATTCTTATCCCTTTAGTAAGAGGCTGTCAGCTTCTCCACACACAAGGGAACATTGAAGGGGAGTTTACCTTCTGTTTCAGGGTTTGCTAGGCATAGGCTAAAGCCTATATCCCAGCCACACAAGATGATGCGAAGGCACTTACATTCTCTTATAGAATTGGATCTCTGGGAGGATCCTACATGTAATTGTGTTTGTTTTCCTGATGACTATCCCGGACTTGAGGAACTGGGCAGACAAGTGCATGGTTAGCTGTGCTGAGGAGCTCAGTGCAGCCGCTGTCTCTAGCAGGTCACAGTCTGGCCTGCTGCTTCTCACTCTGCCTCTTTGACTTTCTTTGATCCCTCCATTTCTTTCTCCATCACAGGCTTTCCACTGGACAAAGCTGTTGCTTACTCCAAGCTTCGAAACCCCTTCCTTATCAATGATCTGGCCATGCAGTATTACATCCAAGATAGGTATAGCTTCCTATGGACCAGAGGGGTGGGTGGCCCTGAAATGCCCACTTTAGGAAGCCTACTCTGGGATGGGCACAGTGAAGCAAACATGCTTCATTTTTTTGTCCCATTTCATATTGAGTTATAGTTCCCTGTGCAAATAAAATTCCTAGCCTTCTCTGTTTGTCACCCCCACCTTTCCTATGTGGCTAATTTATTTGGGGGGTGGGGCGTGACAGGAGAGAGGTGTACCGGATCCTGCAGGAGGAGGGTATTGATCTGCCAAGATACGCCGTGCTCAACCGTGACCCCGCCTGTCCTGAGGGTGAGTAATTGCCTTTATTTCCATGATTTAGCCTGGTATTTGTTCCTTAAACTTCTGCTCTAGACATATCTGTGTGGGCCTTTGACTGTTGGATTATAGATAGAGTTGTGGGTCTTTAGACAGAGCTGTTGAACTTTTATATAGATATTATCATATCTAAATGCCATATATAAGCATTGCCGTATCTGTTATAGGACGTGGTCATAAAATGTGAAAGGTTGTATAGATTAAAACTTCAGGGAAATAGGAGTTGGAAATACTCTCCAACCTTAGTTCCTAAGAACGATCCCACGCCCATCTTTCAGAGTGCAGCCTGATAGAAGGTGAAGACCAGGTGGAGGTCAATGGAGCTGTCTTTCCCAAGCCCTTTGTGGAGAAGCCAGTGAGTGCAGAGGACCACAATGTTTACATCTACTACCCCAGCTCTGCTGGAGGAGGAAGCCAGCGCCTCTTTCGTAAGGTATGGGAGACATCTGAGCATCTGGGAAGTCAGAGAGTAGAAGGAGGGAGTGAGGTGAGGTTGTTGGGAATAGAGAGGGGATCTATGGGCAAAGCCTAGAGATGGAGGCAATGTTGTTCTCCTTTCCTTCCCTCCTAAAGATCGGCAGTCGGAGCAGCGTTTACTCTCCCGAGAGCAGCGTCCGGAAGACAGGATCATACATCTATGAGGAGTTTATGCCAACAGATGGCACAGATGTTAAGGTTATGGTGGATACAGAGATTTAAAATGTTACAAACATCCGGGTGGGAATGAGGTGCTTGGGAGGCAAGTGGCAGTATGTATGGATCTTAGAAAACAAAATGTGATTTCAACTGACTTCACATTCAAGTGAAGATAGCAAGTGAGATGCATACATTCTCATTTTCCCTATTAGAGTGAGAGCAAGGTGCCATAGTAAATTGTGAAACATTGGTAAATTATTATTTAATAAGGACTAGAAAGTAGTGCCAGAGTCCTAAGGAGAAACCTTTGTAAGTTCGTTGGAATAAGGCTAAGTACCAAAAATATCAGTCTCTGTATTCTCTTTTAAAAAATTGTCTTATTACATTTATTTGTGTGTGTGCACGCACCATTGCATGCATGTAGAGTCAGAGGTCGACTTGGAGGAGTCACTTCTCTCCTTCATCCCTATGAATCCTGGAGATCAGACTTGTCAGCCAACATCTTTCTGCCGAACCATTTCATGACCCAGTCTTTGTATTCTTAATGTTTGGAGGAGTTTTTGTCTTGTCTTTGTTTTAAGACAGGTTCTTACTGTGTAGCTCTGGCTGACTTAAGACTTGCTGTGTAGACCAGGTTGTCACTGAACTCATGAAGTCCTGCCTCTGCCTCCTGAGTGCTGGGACTGAAGGCGGGTGCCACCACTCTTGACTGGGCAGAGTTTGGTTTTTCTTGTGGAAGAGTCTACAGACCTAGTGCTCATATTGTCTTCTCACACACAGGGTGAGCTGTGGGCATACTCAGTGGTGCTCTGTACCCGCAGGTGTATACAGTGGGGCCCGATTATGCCCATGCTGAAGCTAGAAAGTCTCCAGCTCTGGATGGGAAGGTTGAACGAGACAGCGAGGGGAAGGAGGTTCGCTATCCAGTCATGCTGACCGCCATGGAAAAGCTAGTAGCCAGGAAAGTCTGCGTAGCTTTTAAGGTAGAGAGGGCTCATGGGGCTGTGGGATGAAGGGAAGAAACGGGCAGGGTTTGGGAGCTGATTCACTCTGCCTTTTTGCTTTTGCAGCAAACAGTCTGTGGGTTTGACCTTCTTCGTGCCAACGGTCACTCCTTTGTGTGTGATGTCAATGGCTTTAGCTTTGTCAAGAACTCAATGAAATATTATGATGACTGTGCCAAGATTCTTGGGTAAGAGACATATGGGCTAGGGTACAGGGAAGAGGGCTCAGGAGCCTTCTCTTCACAAAGCGGGTGTGATGTCTGTGCTGTTACCCCAGCACTTGGGAGATGGAAGCAGTTTGAAACTGTCCTGGGATACATGAGGCTGTGTGGATAAATAAATAAATAAATAAACAAACAAACAAATAAAGCTTTTGCTTTATTTTAACTATTTTAAAAACTATTCAAAAGTCAAAAATGAAAAAGGAGAAAGAGCTACTCAGCCCCTGCTGCCTCCGTAATGCATTCCTCAGAGATGACTGCTATTAACAGTGTTAGCTGTGACAGATTGCCTTTCTCTCCCATGTGTAAATAGCTATATTTAGTTTACTGACTGTGATAATACTGGGATTTTGCATTCAAAATAGCATGTAATGCCTAAACCATTCAAAAAAACCTAAGGAATGATGATACAGTGAGCATCGCAGGTGTGGTGGTTCTAGCCAAGCCCTGTCTTAACAAGTACACCATTAGGCCAGATATGGTGGTCCATACCCTTAATCCCAGCACTCGGGAGCCAGAGGCAAACAGATCTCTGTGAATTCCAGGCCAGCCTGGTCTGCATCACGAATTCCAGGCCAGTCAGAGATACACAGTGAGAGACCTATCTCAGAAAGCAAACAAGTACATTGTTGAGAGTGGCATGGTGGCTCTGAGGATAGAGCGTATGTGTGTGCACAAGCCTAGCTATGGGAATTTGATCCCTGGAACCTACGTAGAGGTGGGAAGAGGGAAGCAGCTCCACAAATTTGTTTTCTAACTCCACACCCATGCCATAACATACATACCCACTAACACATCATGCACACTTATGCACCCAATAATTGATGAAAAAATCCAGATTTTTAAGATTTGGGCCGGGTGTGGTGGTGCACACACTTTTAAGCACTTAGGAGGCAGAGGCAGATGGATCTCCATGAGTTTGAGGCCAGCCTGGTCTACATAGTGAGTTCCAGGAAGCCAGAGCTATGTAGTGAGACCCTGTCCCAAACAAACAAAAACAAACAAACAAAATCTTAGTTATGGTAGTTCCCATCTGTAATCACAGTAGGAAGGTTGTCACAAGTTTGAGGCTACTTTAAGCTACAGAGTGCTGGTAGCACACACCTTTAATCCCAGGACTTGGGAGGCAGAGGCACATGGATCTCTGAGTTTGAGGCCACTATGTGTGAGTTCCAGGACAGCCAAAGCTACACAGAGAAACCTTGTCTTGAAAACAAACAAACAAAAGCAAATAATTAAAACCAAAAATATTCTATTAAGGACAGACATGAAGGTATACACATATAATACCACATTCAACAGTTTGAGGCAAGAGAGTTTCAAGTCTGAGGCAAGGCTTTGCTTCAGAGCAAGACTATCTGAAAAATGCTGGAGATGTAGTAGAATTGCTTGCCTGAAGTCCTGGGCTCAGTCCCCAGTGTTCATAAAAGTAGTGTTGGCTCAGACTGGAGTCCCAGCATTTGGGAGGCGAAGGCAGTGTGGGGACCGAGAAGGAATCAGGCTTAGTCAGTGAAGCGCATACTGTGCAAGTGTGAAGACCCAGATCTGAATCCCAGCACCCATGTCACAAGTCGTGAGTAGCCTGTAATTGCAGCATAAGGAGGCAGAAACAAGGCGATCCTAAGGGCTCACTGTCCAGCCAGTCTAGATGATTGGTGAGCTCCAGGTCAACCAACCGGTGGAGAGTGGTCAAGGATGACACCTGACTGTGACCTCTGACCTCCACAGGCATACATAGGCTGGTGTATGCACCTGTACACAGGAATATAACCCCATCTACCTACACATATACACATACAAAATAGAACCTAAAAATTATCTGCTATGTAGTGAGTTTGAGGCCAGCCTGGGATACCTGAGAAAAAAATATATACTTTTAAGAAGTCGTGAAGACTGGGTGTGATGGCCCATGCTTTTAATTCTGGTGCTTGAGAGAGGTATGAGGTCTCTGTGAGTTCAAGACCAGTCGGGGCTACAGGAGTGAGACTCTGTCTGAAACAGAATATATGAGGCTGGATATGTGGTTCAGATGGTCTAAGAGCTTGCTATGCAAACCTGGTGACCTGAGTACAGTCCCAGGAACCCATGTAAGAGTTGAAGGAGAGAACTGAGAGTTGTCCTCTGACTGCCACATGCCCATGCCCACACATATGCATTACACACACAAGCACACACACCCATGCCCACACATAGACATCACACACAAGCACACACACCCATGCCCACACATAGACATCACACACACAAAACTAATCAGTTAATTAATTAAAAAGTTCAAGATGGACATGGTAGTACATATCTATAATACTAGCAGAAGCATGAGAATCTTGGAATTCAAGACCAGTCTGCTCTACATGTGAGTACCAGCCCAGCCAGGGATACATAGTGAGGCTCTGTCTCAGAAGTTTTTTTCACACATGTATTAGAAAAATAAAAGCAGGGCTAGAGAAAAGACTCAGCAGTTGAGAGCACTGTTGTTCTTGTAGAGGACCTGACTTAGGTTCACAACCATCCATAATTCCAGTTCTAAGGGATCAGTGCCTTCTTCAGACCTCTGTGGTCACCGGGCACACACATGAGCACATACATGCAGGCTAAACACTCATAAAGTAAAATAAAATTTAAAAGAAGTAAAAGAATGTATGAGTTAAACCTGGTGGTATATGTCTGTAATCTTAACACTGGGATTGTGAGAGGTAGGATTAGGAGACTCAAGAATTCAAGGCTAGTCTACTGAGCTGGAGGCCAGCTTGGCCTACATGAGATCCTGTTTGAAAACAAAAATAAAGAAAAGAAAAAGAATATAGTTGAAATGCCTGCATAGTGCAGTGCTGAGGTTAAATCCTTTGCCCACACTCAAAGGGAACATTAACCTTAACTGGTTTATCACTGCCATGCTTTTGTTTCTGCCAAATGGTTAGATGCTGTGGCAAATGCGTTTAGCAACTGAGCCATGTCCCTGGACTTTTTTTTTTTTTAATGGTGTTCTTGTTTGGACGTTTCAAGCTTTATATTAATGCTTTCTTTTGCTGCATGACTGCATATATATGTATGGCCTTCTGTCATACAATTGTTCGTTTATTTTTCATTCAACTTTGTTATGCTTTGCCTCATAGGAACACCATTATGCGGGAGCTTGCCCCACAGTTCCAGATCCCATGGTCCATCCCCACAGAAGCCGAGGACATTCCCATTGTCCCTACCACATCTGGCACTATGTAAGGAAACATTAAAAATCTGGGATGGGTGGCGGTGGTGCAAATCTTTAATACTAGCACTTGGGAGACAGAGGCAGGCAGATCTCTGTGAGTTCAAGGCCAGCCTGGTCTACAGAGCGAGTTCTGGGACAGGCTTCAAAAGCTACACAGAGATACCCTGTCTTGAAAAGAAAATATGAAACTCCAGCACCGTGTCTAATCTCAGCGCCCTTTGTTCTCTGATGTCTCGAGTAGAATGCAATGGTGGGAGGTGAAGGTTTGGGGTGGGAGAATGACTCTGAGAACACTTCCGATCCTAGGATGGAGCTCCGCTGTGTCATCGCAATTATCCGTCATGGAGATCGAACTCCAAAGCAGAAGATGAAGATGGAAGTGACCCACCCGAGGTAGCAAGAACAGCCTAATTTAGATGGATAGTTCTTTGTAGGGAGAATGGATGGAGCACAGTTCCCAGGAGGTCTGATTTCTTTTATTTTTACTTCTTTAAAGGTTTTTTGCTCTCTTTGAAAAACATGGTGGATACAAGACGGGAAAATTAAAACTTAAGCGACCTGAGCAGCTCCAGGTAAGGTGTTGGGTCTGGGCAGGAGCCCTAGTGGGGTTGAGAAGGGATGGCCGGGAAGGCCTACACGGTTCCCGGTGGTCTCTCTAGGAAGTGCTGGACATTACGAGGCTCCTGCTGGCTGAACTGGAGAAAGAACCAGGCACTGAGATTGAGGAGAAGAGTGGGAAGCTGGAGCAGCTGAAGTCTGTGCTGGAGATGTGAGAGAGGGGACAGCAGCAGGAGCTCCTCACAGGAACTCAGGTGCAGGGCGGAATGTGATGCCTGGCTGTTCCCTGCAGGTACGGCCACTTCTCGGGTATCAATCGGAAGGTGCAGCTGACTTACTACCCCCACGGAGTGAAAGCTTCCAACGAGGGCCAAGGTGAGCAGCTCTCCCGCATCTCGTCCTCCTTTTCTTCTTTCAAGTTTCTAAAATTATGTTTAATTATTTAGTGGGGGTGGGCACACATGCCAGAGAGCACCTGTGGAGCTCAGAGGACAACAGTGGGGGTCGGTCCCCTCTTTCTACCACATTGGTCCTAGAGGTAGACCTTGGGTGCTTAGGTTTGGTGGCAGATACCTCTACCAGCTGAGCCGTCTCACTGGCCTCTCTTTTAAGACATGGTCTTGCTGTGTAACCCAGGCTGACCTCAAATTCCCAGCAATCCTCATGCCTCCATTTTCCAAGAGCTGGTTTTCCAGGCATGTAACACCATACTCGGCTCTCAGATCTCTTATTCTCAACCTTGTGGATGGTTTCCACCTGTAATTACCTCTGTTCTTGTCAGAAGCCTAATGTCTATGTGTTCCCATCATAATCCCTGGGAAATGCCCATCCACTGTGCCTTCTTCCGTCAGATCCACAGAGGGAAGCCCTGGCTCCGTCTCTCTTGCTGGTACTGAAGTGGGGTGGAGAGCTGACTCCTGATGGCCGTGTGCAGGCCGAGGAGCTGGGGCGAGCTTTTCGCTGCATGTACCCTGGAGGCCAGGGTAAGTGTTGGAAAATGAGTGCCCAGCAAGGCTGGGATAAGATAATCAGAGGGAGGGGAGGGGAGGGGAGGGGCAGCTGCTGTGAGGATGCTAAAGGGACAGTTAATATGTTCCCCACACGGCTGGGTGACAGTCTGTGCTGGCGTTCCCCTTTGCTCCAGGTGACTATGCTGGCTTCCCTGGCTGTGGGCTGCTTCGCCTCCACAGCACTTTCCGTCACGACCTCAAGATCTACGCATCCGACGAGGGTCGCGTCCAGATGACTGCTGCTGCCTTCGCGAAGGTAGGCCCTCTCGTTCTTCCACTGCCTCTGCTTCCGTTAGGTAGAGAAACAGGGTTTGGAGGACTCAATGGAAAGGGTTCAAGAGCTGCTGTGCTAATTCAGAGCCGTCTGTGTCCAGAGGGGCTGGGACCGGTTGGAGTCGGCCTCTTCAGGCGCTCTCTTCATCCCATGTCTGGGATGTTGACCCGGAAGAGAAGCTAGTAGACCCGTGCTTTCCTTCCAGGGCCTCCTGGCTCTAGAAGGGGAGCTAACACCCATTTTGGTGCAAATGGTGAAGAGCGCCAACATGAACGGACTGCTGGACAGCGACAGTGACTCCCTGAGCAGCTGTCAGCACCGCGTCAAGGCACGGCTGCATCACATTTTGCAGCAGGATGCACCCTTTGGCCCCGAGGACTATGACCAGGTGACATGCGCCTCCTCTCTGTACCCCAGCTACCCTGCAACCTAATTCCTAACATTCTAAATACTACTACCTGTTATATGCTAGGCACTGGTTTAGGATATTTATTAATCTACAGTATTTTGTTTAATCCTCCCAACCACCCTTTGGGGTAAATTCATGCCCACAGTTTTCATTATCCACAAATTTAAAGATTAAAATTATTAATGTAAGGGCTGGAGAGATGGCTCAGACGTTAAGCTACTCTTCCAGAGGTCCTGAGTTCAATTTCCAGCAATCACATGATGACTCACAAGCATCTGTAATGAGATCTGGTGCCCTCTTCTAGCCTGCATACATACATGCAGGCAGAATACTATACATAATGAATAAACAAATCTTTAAAAATTTATTTATTTATGAAAATATGTTGATATAAGTTTGGCATCAGGGTTCATTTGGCAGACATATCATGAGACTATTTAGAATCCTTATTTATTTCACTCAATGTAAATGTCATACATTTTGCTGCATTAATATTAGTGTGTTTGATTGTGTCTTAAACTCTGCTGGAGGTATTATGTCCCCTGTGGTTTATGTTTTAAAGCCTGTAATCTAAAGGAAAGCGTAGTTCTGAGACCGCTGACTTTGGGTCTTGAAGTTGGAGGACTGTTTGAGTGATGTATGTGAAAACCGCCCCCAGGATTATAACGTAGAGCACTCACCAGTTCATTGCCTCACAGTCCTGGGCTCATCTGGCCTTACTTGTGCTTTCCTGAAGTAGTAGTGCAGTGCTGGTTGGGGTGGGAATCTATTACATCTGGAGGTTTAACTAGAATTGTGGGATAGCTGGCTTTTGACTTCATCCTCTCCCTGTAACTGCAGGACCTGTCCCCTTCACAAGAATTTGTCATGTGATTGGTCTAGTATCTTAGTTTTCTCAGGGGAAGTTAGAAGCCTTTTTTTTTTTTTTTTTTTGAGGCAGGATGTTGCCATGGAGCCTGGGTTGGTCTTGAACTTTCAGTGACCCTCCTGCCTCTGCCTCCTGTCTACAGAGCTTCCAGGCTTTTTAAAGCAGGGGTCCAGAAAGAACACAATAAATGGTTGTTATTTTATCATGGTGAAGCAGTCACAAAGCGAGGCCTGGTTCACAGAAAGAGAGAAAGACAAAGAATTAATGGTCACCTTAATCTTCTGGGAACTATTACAACTGCCCTACCCTCTTTCATCTTACAGAGGAGGAACCTAAGTTCCAAGTAACTTAAACAACCCTTTCAAGGTGGTGGAGGCAGTCTAGACCTCAGGAGTCTTCTCTGAAGGCCTCACTGCTTAGTACTTCAGTCTCTGCTGCCCATCAGCGTTGATGGCAGTTACTATTCCCAAATCAGTCTTCTTTTTCCTGAGTATCTAGGCCACAGTTGGCCAGGTATTGGGTTGGGTTTGTTTGTTTGTTTGTTTGCTTGCTTGCTTGTTTACTGTCCCACACTTAATTTTGATAAGTTCTTTATTTTAGTATGTATTTAAATTTTTTTATGTGAATGAGTGTTTTGCCTGCACACATACATAAACACCACGTTTGTACCATGCCCATAGAGGGCAGAAGAGGGCATCAGATCCCTGGAGTTACTGACGATTGTGAGCTGCCACGTGGGTGCTGGAAACCAAACTCAGGTCCTCTAGAAGAGCAGACTCACTCTTTAACAGCAGAGCCATTTCTCTGGTCCCTCTGGTAGCTTCTTGAATGACTCACCAAGGGGCAGACTTGTTTCCTTATTTTCCCAGCTAGTCTAGTGTTGTTCACTGTCAAGCAGAAAATCTAGGGTTTCTCCCTTTCTTTATGCCTCCTTTTGTTAGTGAGAATGAAGCTTGTGAGACCTTAGCTAGAACTCCATCCACACTTAGTCCTTCCCATCTTGTTTATTTTAGTATTTTAGTTTGTTTGTTTATTTACTTATTTGTTGTTTTTCAAGACAGGGACAGGGTGTCTCTGTATAGCTCAGGTTGTCCTGGAACTCACTCTGTAGACCAGGCTGGGTCAAACTCACAGAGATTCTCCTGTCTCTACCTCCCGAGTGCTGGTACTAAAGGTGTGTGCTACCACTGCCCAGTTTATGTTTGTTTTTAAGTGTATATGTGCATATGTATCTGTGTGTGGGTTTGTGCACTGGCGCCTAGGTGCCTGTGGAGTCCAGAAGAGGTGTTAAATCTCCTGGAACTAGAGTTCTAAGTAGCTGTGAGCTACCCACGTGGGTGCTGGGAACTAGACCCTGACCTGTGCAGAAACAGTAATTGCTCTTAACTGCTGAGCCATCTCTGCAGTCCTCCTCATTTTGTATTGATGGTAACTGTCTTAAATTGAAGCTGGTTGTGGTGGTGCACACCTTTAATCCCAGTACTCAGGAAGCAAAAGTAAGGTGGATCTCTGTGAGTCTGAGGCCAGCCTGGTCTACAGAGTGAATTCTAGGCCAGCCAAGGCTACATAGCAAGACCTTATCTCAAAAACAAGCCTAGCAAATGAAAGACTGTAGGTCAGTGTGAGACAGTCTTCTCTGATTCTCATCAGGACATTCCACAGAGACTGTAAGGAATTTATTCTTTATTCTCCAGCATTTCTCTTGTGTATTTTACAGTCCCCAAGTAAAGTGTACTTTACTTATAAGTGTACTTTAATTTCTCTGGACTCTGAAACTTTTAAGATGGTCCCTTCATGGATGATTGTGTGTTGGAGCAGACAGTGTCCTCATTTAAAGGCCCAGAACTGTCAGGATGCCCAGGAACAAAAGATCCCTCCTGAAATGAGCCAGCAGGCAGATCTGTATTACAGCCAGTTTCTCTGTAGTAAACCACAGTCTGGGAATTGCACTGAGCCTGTGCTCTCTGTTTCTCACAGCTGGCTCCCACCGGAAGCACTTCTCTCCTCAACTCCATGTCTATAATCCAGAATCCTGTCAAAGTCTGTAATCAGGTGTTTTCCCTGATTGAAAACCTAACCCACCAGATTCGGGAACGGATGCAGGACCCCAGCTCTGTAGGTGGGTGTGATTACTACTGTCTGCCCTCCAAAGTCTCAGGCATGGATGCATCCCTCCGGTTCTATGCTGACTGTCTGCCTTCCCCTCAGACCTGCAGCTCTACCACAGTGAGACACTAGAGCTAATGCTGCAGCGTTGGAGCAAACTAGAGCGTGACTTTCGGCACAAGAGCGGGCGCTATGACATCAGCAAGATCCCTGATATCTACGACTGTGTCAAGTATGATGTGCAGCATAACGGGAGTCTGGGGCTTCAGGGCACAGCCGAGTTGCTGCATCTTTCAAAAGCTCTGGCCGATGTGGTCATTCCCCAGGTGTGTCTCATATAGTGGATCCAGTGGGAAGAATGGGAGGGGAGAAAAGAAATGGACCTTGAAAGGAAACTTGGAGAAGGAATTGAGTTTCTACAGTTCCCAGGGCTAGTCTGGGCATCAGGACTGACTGAGGAGACTTTTGGAGGGGATGTGATGGACAGGAAGGAAAAGCCAGGCCTGAGGGAAACATGTGTGGCAAGACTAACTGAGTTGCTTCTTCTTCCTGGCCTGTGACCCTCAGGAGTATGGGATTAGTCGGGAGGAGAAAATGGAAATTGCTGTGGGCTTCTGTCTTCCACTTCTGCGGAAAATCCTGCTTGACCTACAGAGAACCCACGAGGATGAGTCTGTCAACAAGCTGCATCCCCTGTGAGGGAGGGCTGGGAGGGGAACTGGATGGAGGGAGGGGGGCCTGCTGGGAGCCCTGGGGAAATCAAGGCTAAGACAGGTGGGGAGCCAAGAAGAGGCAGGGTCTGGGATGGTGAGGAGAGAAGTCTTTAGGTGGGAGGAGGAGTTGTCATAAGGAAAAGAATTGTCTGACTGGGTATCTGATTTAACTTTCACGCCAGGTACTCCCGTGGAGTGCTCTCTCCAGGGCGCCATGTTCGAACACGTCTGTATTTCACCAGCGAAAGTCACGTTCACTCCCTACTCAGTGTCTTCCGTTATGGGGGACTTCTTGATGTAAGCACCCCCTCCCTCCTCCGACCTCTGAGCATCTTTTCTAGCAGTCATCAGCCGTCCTTGCGTTTGTTTTTCCTGTGGGCGTTTGTCATCCTCCTCGGTCCCCTGCCCACTCCTCTTACTTGTCCTTGGGCACTGGCTTACCTTTGTTTGTGTTTGGTAGGAGACCCAGGATGCACAGTGGCAGCGAGCTTTGGCTTATCTTAGTGCCATCTCAGAGCTCAACTACATGACCCAGATTGTTATCATGCTTTATGAGGACAACACACGGGTGAGGAGCCAGCTGGTGGGATGAGGAGAGGGCCCTTCTTCCTACTTCCATTAAAAAGCAACTTACCTTTTATTTTTAGACACTTAGGGTGCTCATGCGCGTGTATGTGTGTGTATGCATGCATGCGCACGTGTGCGCAAGTAGGTATGTGCAGGCATGCACCGTACATGTATAGCAATCAGTGTGTGCATGCACTTGTAAAGATGTATGTATACCGTACATGTATAGAGATCAGTGTGTGCATGTGTGTGCATAGGTGTTTGTAAGCACACACTATATATGTATAAAGATCAGTGTGTGTGCAGACATGCACTGTACATGTATAGAGATCAGAGAACAACTTGCAGAAGTTGACTTTCTTCTTCACTGCAGTGGGATCAAACTCAGATCATTGGGGTTAGTGGCAGACACCTTTACCTGCTGAGCTGTCCCACTGGTTCACAAAATCTTTCTTATTCTTAGATTTTTTATAGACTTTGGTCAGTAGTTTTTCTTCAACTGCCATATCTGTTGCTCTCTTTACAGTATACTTAATAAGTTTGTTTTCATCTTAAAGAAAAAGAATTTCTAGAATCCAGCTAGATGCAGTGTGTAGGCGCAACATGGCTCAGAGCACCTAGGAGGATCCTACTGGAACAGAACCTCTGTTCTGGGGTGATGTTGAGCCAGAGAGATAACCTAGAACATCTGTAGAATTTGGGACAATATTTTATGAGTCTTGCTTCTGCTGATATTGCTGTGTGTGTGTGTGTGTGTGTGTGTGTGTGTGTGAACATATGCATGTACACACATGCCTTCTGCATCAGTCTTAGCAAAGACATCTTTAAAATTCTGCTGTGTATACCGTAGCCAAGCTGTTACTAGGAGAGATGGAAAGAAAAGATTGTAGAACGGGAGGTGAGGCATGAGCTCCTATAATAGATGAGTCCCAGACTGAGGGCAAGACCTGAAACCTCAGTCCTGGCTTTCCTGGGTGTTGTATCCTTGTGAGTTCCTCTCTGTTGCTCCCGTGTGTCTTGTCACCACATCCAGATTCTCCCAATTACCCTTCATATGGTGATGCCCCATAGGACCCATTGTCGGAGGAACGATTCCATGTGGAGCTCCACTTCAGCCCTGGGGTGAAAGGTATTGAAGAGGGCAGTGCCCCAGCTGGCTGTGGATTCCGCCCAGCTTCTTCAGAGGTGGGTCAGAGAGCTGGGATTTGGGGCTCTAGGACTTAGGGACCAGGGAACCGGGTGGTAGGAAACTGGGAAGTAATCAAGGGTGGTTAAAAGGGATGAAGAGTTTGATATTAGGAAGATGAAAATCATCAATGTCTCTCCATTTGTCTATTATGGAACAGAATGAGGAGATGAAAGCAGATCAAGGCAGCATAGAGAACCTGTGCCCAGGGAAGGCCTCAGATGAACCAGACCGAGCATTGCAGACCTCTCCCCAACCTGTCGAGGGCACTGGCCTTCCAAGGAGGTCACCCCTCATTCGGAATCGAAAAGCTGGCTCCATGGAGGTAATGAGACAGACAAGATGATGATGGGGTACCAGTACTCGTAGGAAAATATCTTCCTTTCCTCTGAATCTTCTTGAGACTTAGAGCTTGAGTCCCCTTGCAGTAGTGTTATGTTTACCTAATATTTCTTTCACAGCTGGTCTCCAGTAGGACTTCTTTAAGCTGGTTGTTACTTGTGATGTTAAAGACTTACCCAGGAGCAATACCTAAGGGGAAAAATTTTAGGATAAAGTAGAGACAGAATGACTTCTGGGCTGATATCACCATTTGACTCTCAGAAGCTGTGTGACCTTGTCCAGGTAGCTTCTCAAGCCTTGCATCTTTTTCCATCTATACGATATGAGCAATAACCTTATCTTATAACCTAAACCCTATCTTATAGATGCACTAAAAGTCACTGCAGTAGCAATGCAGTTGGTGATGGAGGCCAGGCCCTCTCCTCTCCTTCTGTTTGTTCAGGCTTGAGCAGTCCTTGGCACTTGAATGCCGTTAGGGTTATCTAGATTGTCATGCCAGAAGGATGATTGATCATCCAGAGTCTATGTGTCTCTCCTAATGAGGAGGTTTATCTGCTTGGGTCTGTGTTGTGATACTTTTAGAATTTTTCTCAAATCCCACTTCTGGTTTTCTAATCTAGAGGACAGAACTTGAATAGATTTATCACCGCATCTCCTTACTTTCCTCAGGTTTGGATTTGTCTTTCTTGGTAATGAAGTTTTCTTCTTTGGCCCAATGATACTTTCTTTAATTGTCTCCATGACTTTCCTCTCAATGTCATAACTTATTCCTGTATCAGAGACTTTGCCTGGTCTGGATGCTGCTCGGAATCATGGATCTATTCAACTGCTCTCTACAGGCCTCTGTCTTATGGGACTTGTTTTTTCTGTTTTAGGGATATCTCAGAAAAATCTATAATAAGCTTTCATGGTTAATGCAGAAATTTACATTTCAGATTTTAGAGAAGACCAAGAAAATAAACTGCAGTCTCTGGCCAGACTTACCCTTTGCTTCCTGACTGTTTTAGGGGGTTGCTGATTGGAACATGCAGTTTCTTTCGCAGAGATGTGCCTTAGTTTCCCTGAGGTGCAGGTGGAACTGGGTGCCCAGCACTCTGCACACACTGTCACTCCTGTGCAGTAGATCCAACGGACGGGACAGTATGTGATTGTCTTCCTGGGCTGTCCCTTTGTCATCTTATATCAGCACAGGGGACATAAGCAATAACTCTCTCAGACTTACTGGAATTGTCTTCTTTCTGGAAGTTTCCTTGAGTGTGATCCCTTTTCTTTGTGGTATTGGTGATTGAACCCAGAGCCTCACATATGCCAGGCAAGTGTTCTAACCACTGAACAGCATCCCCAGCCCTTTCTGTTGTCTTTTATTTTGAGACTGGGTTTGCTGAATTACCAAGGTTGATTTTGAACTCACCTTGTAGCACATGCAGACTTTGAACTGGTGATCTTCTTACCTTATCCTCCTGAGCTGGACTCACAGGCTTGAGCCTCCAGAACTATCTGTGATTCCTGTTGTAACTACATTCCTTCTTTTGGGTCATTGGTATTGTTCATTCAGGGTGATGACTACTCAGAATGTGCTCCTCAGCCAGTCCTTAGTCACACAGCCTTATATTATTAATGTTTTCTTTCCCTGCTCTGTAGGCCAGTATTGGACATCTTGTCCTCATCAATGACATCTCATCCCTCCTTCTTCTCTTGTCTTCTCATATTTTTGAACTGTTTTAGATTATAAAATTTGTGACCTTACTAGCAACTGTGCCCTAGCTGGCCATCCTCTCCAGCTCTCTAACTGACTCTGCCCTTTGGGCACTGGGGCATTGGGAGCGTGGGGGCTAAAGGAGCCTTGACCGGCTTTCCACCCGGTCTGATTGCAGGTCATGAACATGCAGTGCACGGGGAACCTGGACCTGATCCCCTTGAGGGGACGGCGCCGCAGGAGGTCAGGAGACCTCCCTCGGCTTTCCCCAGCCATCGGCCTACAGCCCCGGGCTGTGTCCACCACTCACCTGGCTTCCTGCACACAGGTGTCTCTTCCCGCCTTGCCTTCCTTTCCTGCCTTCTGTCTTTGCTTTTGGGATCTAGGGAAACTGCTCATTGTTTAGGTGGGATGTATGTTGGGAGCTGTGTGATTGGCCCTCATGGTTATTTTGGGGGAAAAAGAATCAATTTCGTGTATCCAGGAAGAAAATAATTGGAGGGGAGGGCTTCTTGGCTTAAATACGAAACTGAGGATGGCTCCATTCACCCCAGCTGTCTCTGGAGAAAAGAGAGGGCAGGCCATACTTTATTTGTGGCTGAGTCACTGTGATTTCTATGTCCTAGGAAGGAGCAGGTAAGACTGAAGTGCCTACTCGGCTGAGGACGACAAATGGTTGGATCGCGGTTCTCTAGATCGGGGGTGGGGGGTGGGGCTGCAAAGACCAGTGTTTGGGCAGTAGACATGCCTTCTAACATAGATGGACTCCCTGGACAGTTCACTCTGCAGCGTGCACTCTGTTCCCTTTTTATTCCTCTTCCACCATAAAAATTTTTTGGCTCATCTAATCTTTTTGATACTGCTTGGCTTTGTAGGGGCAAGAATTCAGAACCTGAGTTTTCTACTTTGAGGTGACAAGGGGATTGATAGAAAGTCCTTTTTCTACAGGTGCTGTCTGAGACTTCATCTTCAAGACCCGGTGGCTACCGGCTGTTTTCATCTTCACGTCCCCCAGCAGAGATGAAGCAGAGCGGCCTAGGTAGGTTTCCTACATCACTCACCTGTTGTTGAAAAGGGTTGTCTCTCTGTTATCCAGAGTTTTATCGTGGGAAATCTTCATCACGGGAACTGAGAGCAGCCAGTCAGCACTGTCAGATGTAGGAAGGGATAAAGTGGAGGAGGACAGAGTTAGCTTTGGATGGATCTAGGTGATTGTTTTCACCCCAGAAGAGTGTTTACCTTTTGATTTTTCCTCACCAATCCCCATTTCCCTAGCTGCAGGGTGTTTTTCTGGCTTTTCTTCTCATTCCTTATCTGTCCCTCTAGTCCAACCGAGACTTTAAGGGACCATGGAGGCTTTGACCCCTTCAGAGTTATCAGTGACAGGTGCTTGAGTTATGCAGGTAAAACTAGAGGTACTTGTGACCCCCGGTTGTCATATTTTCATATGAGACCTTGTGCCATATCTTCCTCTGAAACCTAGTTTTCACACCCTGCTTTCCTAATCCTGCACCTTTTTCCTTTCCTTCCGGAAGCTTGAGGGACACAAATCTAAGACGGGTGAAGTGGCAGAGGCTTCTCTCAGGACACTGAGGGAATGTCTCTTGATTTTTTTTGAGCCCTGGAAAGGGGTGGAGAATGTCATTCAACCTTTTCTAAGGACACAGACTTGAGGAAGCACCAAGCCTCAGAGGGTATGGTATTCTACGGGACAGTCCTTGAGATGGACCGCCTCTGAACACAATGCCATGTAAACCAAGTAATTAACTGAAGGTCAGAAATAACTTGCGGGGTCTGAACTGGTTCTCCTGGCTCATTTTTTTAAAATCTTGTCCTATTCTCTATATTTAAACCTTCTAATTTTTTGTTATTTTTGTCCTTGCTGCTTAATTTCTTGATCCCAAAATGTTAATATTTGAACTATTAAAGAGGAGAAATGTTTTTTGTAACTTTCCAACCTAATTTTATGGAAGTAGACTAGCTTCTAGAACCCTGAAATCGGTTGGTTTGGGGATTAAACCAACTCTGAGGATTAAATGACAACTATAGATCAGCAAAGTGGACTTCTCGCCCCAGGAATCCCAAAGGTCAAGAAACAGCAAGATCCAGTAAAGAATAGATTTCAGAGCTGGCTGATGGTGGCACACACCTTTAATCCCAGTACTCGGGAGGCAGAGTCAGACACGTCTCTATGAGTTCGAGGCCAGCCTGGTCTACAGAGAGTGTTCCAGGACAGGCTTCAAAGCTACACAGAAAAACCCTGTCCCAAAATAAATAAATAAACAAACAAACAAAAAAAAGAAAAGAAAAAGAAGATAAAGGAATAGATTTCAGATAGGTTAGAAAGTAGATAGGTGTGTAAGTGGGAGTCTTTTCAAGAATAAGTCATAAGCAGAGAGAAAAATGGGAAAAAAAGAAGGAAAGAAAAAGAATAAGGCATAGGAGCCAGGTGTGGTAATACACTTTTAATCCTAGCACTCAGGAGGTCAGAGTTGGGGGGAGAAGCAGGTATATTTCTGTGAGTTCCAGGCCATCCAAGCCTACACAGTGAGACTCTGTCTCATAAAAACAAAACAAACAGCCCAGCGGTGGTAGTGCACGCCTTTAATCCCAGCATCAAGGGAGGCCAGCCTGGTCTACAGAGTGAGTGAGTTCCAGGACAGCTAGGGCTACAACAGAGGAACCTTGTCTCAAAAACCAAAACCAAAACCAACATAAAACAAAAAAGAAGAAAGAAAAGAAAAGAAAAAAGAATAAGGCATAGGAGACTAGGTATATTTAGAGCAGTGGCGTGTGCCTATAGACCAGAACACTTGTGGGGAATGAGATGGGAGGACCCCAGGGTTTGGTCCTCCAGGACCCTGGAGGACCCCAGGGTTTGGGCTAGCCAGAACGGACAACATAGGGAGACTCTAAACTCAAAAACAAGCAAACAGAATATGGCAGAGTGAGGGATACACAGACCTAGTGACAGATGGTAAGATAGAGACTGCTCTCTGAGACACCTGAGGACCAGGCAGAGTGGGGCTGGCATGGTTATACCAGAAAAGTATTCAGCAGAGGAAGTCAATGTAGGACAGAGCTTCCTGTGGTCTAGGATAGAGCCAGCTCCCTTCAGCTTTCTCTGAAGAAAAGCAGACCTCTTTTGTAGTGTGACACGTCATTCTAAAGCCTGACAGAGCATGGAATTTGGGAGAAGTTGCTGCATAAAGAGGTCCTGAATGCCAGGGTAAAAACCATTGCCTATCTGAGCTTTCTAATTTTTCTGGTAGCCCTGAAATACTGGGACCCTGGTCTTCTCTGTAGGCTCAAAGGATCTTCTCTTTTAGTCTGAATATGGATATGACCTCCCCAGCCAAACCCAGGATCTTGACTATGATGGATTTCAAAGTAGAAGGGCAAATTCCAAGAATCTGAGTGTCTTGCTTTTGCTTTTTGAGACAGGGTCTTTTTTTATAACCCTGGCTGTCCTGGGACTCCCCCTACATACACCAGGCTGGCTTCAAACTTGCAGAGATCCTCCTGCCTCTGCCTCCCTAGTGCTGGAATTAAAGGTGTGAGCCACCACACTTAAGAATGTCGGTCTTAGGACTTCCAGGTTACTCTGTCCCTGAGGCTGTAGATGGAGGACTGGGAGTTCAGCCCTACTCTAGATCACCCTGGGGACAGTTTCTGACCTGACTTGTCCTTTTCAGAGGTTCTTCACGTTTCATTTACTCCTCAGACTGGCACTTCTTTTTGCTTTCTTTGAACCTTAATATGTGAGCAGCTGGTTTTGATCACAGGGCTTGCAAGACAATAAACTTTTCAGAGCAGGAAAGGAAAGACAGTCTTTCCATTATTTCTTGATTTCTGTCTTAGTAGGGTGCTACGCACATAACTGGTATGCCCTACTTTATAAGTAGCTGACTTTTCAGATGTCTTCTGATTTGTGTCCATCTTGATTTCAGAATCTATGCTTCTCTTTGTGAAGAAAATCCTTCTCTTCTAACCAAACATAGTATCCGGAGGAAGGAGACCTGGACTCTGGTCCTCCTTACCTCCTGTACTGGAGCAAAGGAGACTCCTTTTGGGTCTGTTTCTTCACCTATTGTGTAAAATGAAAGAGTTAAACTAGATGATCTCTGAGTCCCTTGCAGCGTTAGTAGGCTCATACTTGTGAGAAAAGCTCTGAATGATAGATGGTTAGGTGAAGAACATGGAATTGTGTGCCAGCCAAGTACCCAAACCCAGTCTCTAGTTCCAGTGAAAGCTTTTTCCTCTCAAGCCTCCAAGGGGCTAGATTTCTGGGTCTCTAAAATTCTCTATCCAGAGTAAAGGACCCCTGGTTAGGTGTAGGGGAGCATGCACCGGTGAGGTGGTTCAGCAGTGAAGGTACTCACTTACTGCCAAACCTGATGATTTGAGTTTAATCCCTGGGACCTTCAATGATCGAAGGAGAGGACTGAGTACTGAAAGTTGTCCCCTGACCTCCACATGCATGACATGGCCTGAATTCTCACCTCCTACACAAAGTAACGTAGCTTTTAAAAGTTTAGGGAGACTATTCTTTTAGTACTTCTGAGAGCTGCCTGGAAAGCACAGTCCACCTCAGTAGATCGAGTGCCTAATAAGACTAACACCATTTTTGTAGTGGCCTTTTGTCTCTGCCATGTAGATCTTCTGGAGAGTTGCTACTTTGCTTGCCTGGTGTGGCTATGGACAGTAGAGGACACTGTGTTTCCCTGGAGTAGCTGCGTTGTGGTGGCGCTGAATGGCTGTGTGTGTCTTAATGTTGTACTGTGAAGTTGGGTGTTCTGTATGCAGCTTTGTGTGGCTACTAATGTGCTCCCGGCCTTGCAGGCTCACAGTGCACAGGGCTGTTCAGCACCACAGTGCTGGGCGGCTCCTCCAGCGCTCCGAATCTTCAGGACTACGCCCGCAGCCATGGCAAAAAACTCCCGCCTGCCAGTCTAAAGCACCGAGATGGTATGTGGGTGGGTTTTGGGGGGCAACTTTCTCTCTCTCTCTCTCTCTTTTTTTAAACTTGTCTCCCAGCAAGCATACAGCTTCAGAACTATTCATGCTTAAGATGGCACTGGCAGTGGCCTGGTACTAAGCTTTCCTCATGGATGATAGATGGGAGAAGGAGCCGGGACCCCTTCCACTCCTCCATTTGCATTCCCTCTCGCCATACAGATACTACTGATTTATGCTTATCCCTTCATAATCTCCCACACACAGCCTGGCTGCATCAATTTGTACTCTTTCCTGGATTCTGGCCTGTAGGATGAGGACCGAGAGGATGATCCATGGTCAGGAGGAATGCAGTGGAGTCTTGCTTAAGTTCCAGGGAATCAGGGCTAGGCATGTGGAGGTTGCTCAGCTAAGGTGAAAAGATGATATGGAAAGATACTGGGGGAAGGGAAGGATGTTTCTAGACAGATTTTATTTCCAAGTGGCTAGGAAGAGAGCGTGGTGGTGAAATCAGGGTTGTTTTGTGGGACCATGCTGTGGTAGAGTTGACATCAGCTACTGGAGATTACAGCAGAGGAAATAAGTGGAGTGTTGTAGTCAGGATTCCAGGGTCGGGGATGGGACCAAATTTCACAGCAAGGTAAAGAACCAAGTACACAGTGGGCAGGTTCCAAAGCCGAGGGTGGGCACAGGGGTGGGTATAATCCCCGTGATGTCTTTTCTCCCCAGAGCTCTTGTTTGTCCCGGCCGTAAAACGATTTTCTGTGTCGTTTGCAAAGCATCCGACTAACGGTACGTTTGCTTCTGACTCAGCATCATTCCTCCTCATGTCACCTCCAGACACTTAACCCTGAGTTCTGACACTGACTTGGCTTTTCCTTCCACTATATCGACACCCTGCTTTCTCTGAATGAGCCCCTCACTAAGTGTCCCTTCTGGGGACATTTCCCTTGTGACAGCTGTAGCGTGGCTGTAGCCTGGATAGGCTGACCTATCCCTGTGGCAACTCAGGGTCTGATTTCCATAGTCACCGTCATCACCATCCCATAACCTTTGTCAGCATCACCACCGAACATCAGTCACGACGCTCCCTTTCCCATCACATAGCTGCCAGGCTGCATACAGACATACTAAGGTCCTTCTCAGCCGAGAATAGCATCCCCTAGGTAGGGCTCACTCTCTCCCTGCTGTCTCGGTCTATGTAATTTTGATCTCCTATTTTACTCTCCAACTCTTGATGGGGTGGATGCAGTGTGTGTTCTTCTTTTGGACCAATGCTACAGTTACCTATTAGGGCTTTGGTTTGGACATATGACTTCCCATCTACATATTCCTATCTCCTGCCATTGTGTGTACTTTGTGTGGCTCTTGTGTTCCTGACATCTGCTTTATGTTTTACTAACCTAGTGCCTGAGCCTAGAAAACTGGAGCCCAGATTGCTTTGGGATAAAAGAAAAAAAATAGGAGTGGGAGATATTAGATAAGAAGAAAGGACTGGACCTTGATGATTCTTTTCTTTAATTTTATTTATTTATTTGTTTGTTTGTTTATTTTTGGTTTTTCGAGACAGGGTTTCTCCGTAACTTTGGAACCTGTCCTGGAAGTAGCTCGCTCTTTCTTTTCCTTTTCCTTTTTTCCCCTTTGGCTGAGTGGTCAGTGCTGGAAATTGAACTCTGGTGTGAAGTAGCCATATGCTCTGCCGCAGAGCTAGGCCCCGGCCTCTACACCTTGAGTCTTTATTTTCCATGAGGCCAGGTATTCCCTGTGGAAACACTGTCTCAGAGAAGCTGGAAGTAAAGAGATGAGATAGGAATCCTTGGAGAACTTAGGAATCAGCAGTATTTTAAGAGTATAGAAGAGCTAAATCTGTGTAAATTGTACCCTGAAAGGTTGTGGTCTCTTTGTGGGGTATGGCAAGGAAACCTAAGACCTACTCTCAGCTGTTTCTCTGTGTTGTATCTTGTCCCCCGAGTAAATCCAGTTTTGTTAGATATGGTTTTCTTGTATTCAAGAGCTGAGATTCTCAGAGGAAGGTAAAATTACTCTGATTTCCTGCCCCTGCCCCACCAACTGCCTCACCAATGGCAGGTGTTAGATTTTGGCTGATCATGCCATGTATTTCTTCTAGACACTACTGAAGTCTCTCTCCAGGTTGACTACCCTGTATTCCTTCAGTTCATTTCCACAACCAGTCTGTCTTCACTGCCTGTGGCCAAAATCCCCATCCATAGTGACATGTCTGTGCTAACTCACAGAGTCTCGCATACCACAGTTGTCATAGAAGAGAACTTGATGCCCAAAAGCCTGAGACTTGGGCTTAGTCAAAAATATAGTACCAGGAGCCTGGGCCCCTGAAATAAGAGCTCAATATAAATTTAAAATAAATATGCTTTTCTAAAGCTTAAAATAGGACACCAAAGCCAGAAAGTGAGATCTTCCAACACTGCAGTGCTGAGAGTTGGGTCTCCGGAGAGGTGATGAATGCATTAATGTTGCCATCATGAGACTGGCGTCATTACTTGCTGTACAAGTTTAGTCTCTCTACCCTTCCTTCTCCTTCCTCTCTTACCGCCTCCCAGTTTCTTGGGTGCCATAAGAGAAAAAACCCGAGTTCATAAAACAAATCCTCAAGCCTGTATCTCTAGTTCTCTGAAGCCGACTCGGTGGCTGAAGAAGAAGCAAGAATTAATCTTGCCATAAGGAGGAAAGGAAGAAAGACCTGGACAGTTCAGGTATAGTGCAGGAGAACAACCTAAGGTCTCCGACACCTTGCATACTTCCCCAGGGTTCTTCTAGCCTCCTTATCTCTCTTGTGTTTGAGCTAGGAAGTTAATATGCTTGCAAAGCCAGGACCTGGGATCTGCCTGTTGTATTGAGAAATTTGGAACTGTTGTGTTTGACAAAGAAGATCATATTGATAGAATTTAGCCCTGAAGACAACATGAGAGCTCTACACCATGGCCAACGTCTTGCTTTACTGACTCAGCAATTACAGAGCAGTTGTTCTGTCTACAGTTGCTTATGGCAGATTCTTCATAACAATGTGTCAGCCCTCCTGCCCAGCATCACCGTCTCCTTGTATGATGTGTGACTTTGGCACAGCAGTTAAAAAAACAAACAAACAAAGCCCCCCAAAACTGGACCTGGCTTTGGAAAAGAGACAAGGCAATGTTGTCTCCATACTCTGATAGAAGAGCAATCAGTCCTAGTGCATCCCTGCTTCTCTTCCTAATGAGCTTTTATAGCCCGTGGCTACAACAAGCATATGGGTGTGGTACATCACTAAACTATTCACTGATCTCACCAAAGCAAGTTAATCCAGTGGGAAAGAGCCAGTGGTTCATGCTCATCCAAAGCATCAGAGTACCCAGTGGGCTTGTCAGGCTCTTTATATTACATCACCCACACAGCTGTGTGACCATGGGTACAGTCAAGCCTCACTGTACTAGTCCAGGAAGAACTAAAACCCAAGCTCTTTGGAAGCTGTGGTCTCATGGGACCAGCAGGTGAAACAGTTCTGATCTGGGAGTTCTGAGCAGTCATCTTCACCCACTTTGATCCTCCTGCCTTTCCTGGATCAAGCCCTTATTCATCCTCACGTCAGCCTTCATCTCCATATATTTCCTCCAAGATCTTACACTACTGTTCCTCTTTTACCCCTTACCACATGGCTTTTGATGCCTTCAACCGTTTTGCTGCTGAACCCCAGGCATCCACAGAATGTGCCAAGTGACTGAAACAATGAGGGTTTCCGAATTAACGTTCCTCCACACACCAGCTGCACAGAGCGTGCTTAGACCAATCGTCCATGGAGAGACAATGTAATATTATCTAACTTTCGGTCCCAGTGAGGGGCACATCATCACCACCATCCATATTCTGAGACTAACGTGTTTATTTGTACAAGAGGAAGGTAAAGGGCAGTTAGTCATATTTTTACTATAAAGAGAAAACTCTGGTTTTACCTGCATTGTTTCAAAGGAGTCCTTCTCCTGGCTTCCTGCCAGCATTTTGTGCCAGCCACTTGGCACCAGTCTTGTCTGTGGCTCTCTTAGAATCTGCATCGCAGCGGGCCTTAGCCTTCTGGAATGTTTCAGTTTTGGGGTTATCTTGACATTTAATATTTTGACCTTCTTCTCTAAGTGATTTTGAATCTCTTCATCTCTGTCCTAATGTCATAAATCCATTTGTCTGAGACGTAGGCCCTAGGGTTTGTCTAAGCCAGATCAGAGACGCTGAGCTCTCGTCAGGGCTCCAGCTGCAGAATTAGCAGCTCACTCATATCAGAATGTTACTACTGCTCCAGGGAGAAGGGGAGGGCCTGGGCTCTCGTTAATGGCTGCTTTGAGTCTCATTGGGCCTGGGCTCTCATTAATGGCTTCTTTGAGTCACTGTGTGGTGCCAGTACTCTTCTTCCAAGTAAGGGATGGCCAGTCTCTCTGACCATTTCGCCTTCTTCCTTAGCTTACCTTGGGTCTAAGTGGCCCCCACCCCCAGTAATGCTGTGCCAGTCAGCGCCCCCTCATTGTTTCTCCTTCTTTTCTTTCTTTATCTTTGTGCTTCCTATCGTGGTCCCTCTGTCCCCTGCAGAGCTGCTGGATGACCAGCACCCTGTGGTCCGGTTGCTGCGCACTTTTTCCTCTGACTGCCCAAGGGGCTGGCCAGTTTCCTTGGATGCCACGCTGGCGCACCACCTGCACCAGTGCTCCTACCACCTGCGCCTCTTCCGGAACTGGCTGCGCTCAGGCCAGGATGACCCCGAGTGCCTCTACGGTACCCCCTGCCACAGGCTGGCTGCTGCCACTACCCTGGCTGGGACTGATTGCTTTGCTTACTGCATTTCTGGCTGGAGAGCCTATCTAGTCCTTAAGGTTATGTGACTTGTGTTAGTTGCTTGATTGGGATTGGGGCACCAGGCTGCCTGGTAGCTGTAGTGTTGGCTGCTCATCCCCTTCTAGCCTCCTTTCTTACTCCCCCTAACGTTACCCCCTCTGTTCAGCATAGGCATAATTTCTTGCCGTGGAATCTGGTGGTTTTTGTTTTTGCTTTTGTTTTTTAATGTGTTCTTACCGCTCTAATCTTCTACTACTGTCATCTTCAAATTCAAACGTTTTTCTAACTACTCTGATGAGCTAGAGACTCCTCTGCCCTCTTGCCACTAGATTATAAGAGGAAGCCAAGGCACGGGGGCATCAACTAAATATCAAGACAAACCAAGCTAGAGATTAGAAGATGATCAGGTATGGTCATTTTGAGCTAGGACTCTTACTCATTGGTGAAGAGGAGGCTCAGTCTTTTGTAGATAGTGCTCCCTCCCTGTTCTTAGTCCCTTTCAGGAGAAGCAGCATTGGAACGAGTGGGGACTGAGAGTGTTTAGGACGTGTTCTTGATTCTTCAGCGGGAGAATTTTCCTCGTTAATAGTCCTGGAAGTAGGGTTATTCATTGATGTTTACCTTTGTCCCTACCAAGACTTATAGACCTGTATTACATGGTATTTTTCTCCGGGGTGGGGTTGTCTCATTTTCCTGGTGGAATAGAGAAAACCTAGCAAACCCAGGATGTTACTGCTAGAGCATAAGGAAAAAGCTTTGATGTGATGGAAATGACCAAGAAAGAACTTCCATTCCCCGCCCTGTTCATGCATGTGGTTTCCCTCAGCTGAGCTTCATGTACTGCATGCTCTCCAGTTTGCATCCAAGTATTCTAGCCCTTCTACCTACATCCTAAATTTGCATGAACCCCTCTTCCGATTCCATGCCCTTCTCCTTAATCTGTTTTTTTTTCTTCATGATACCTGAAATCTGCTGTTCCTTCCGAGCTCCATGACCTGCTGCCTAATGTTAGATGTACAATTTCAACCCCTTGCCCCGTGTTCCCTATTTTATTTCCCCCAGAAAATGCAAGAGCAGCATTAGTGCTTTCATTAGTCCATGGGCACTTCATAGGTGAAGGTGATTTGATCACTTGGAGACTTAACAGGTAGACATTTTAGGAAAATTGGAGATGAGAAAGCTAGACTTCCTGAAGGGCTCTAAAGAGTTCCTTCTCCTGGGAATCTTGGATGCCCCAGACTCCAAAAGCCACAGACTATCCTGATGGCTCTCAGGGACTCTCCACCCTTCCTTGGCCAATTGGAGTATATCTGCTGAGAATAACATTGGCTTTGCTCATCTCTTCTCCAACAGGATTTGAAGGGTGCTCCATGGTACCTACCATCTACCCCTTGGAAACACTACACAATGCCCTTTCCCTGCGTCAAGTGAGTGAGTTCTTGACTAGAGTCTGCCAGCGCCACACTGATGCCCATGCACAGGCATCTGCAGGTATGGGAAGTACCGTTTGTACCTCTAGCTTTACCACACCTATAATTTGTAGACTAGGAGAAAATACTGAATTTAAAATGGAGGGAGAATGGCTCAGCAGTTAAGAGTGCTGGCTGTGCCTGCAGAGGACAGAGCTCGTTCTGCAGTGACCACATCAAGTGGTTCAGTCACAGCAGCTCCCGCTCCAGGGAATCTGACATGCGCTTCTGGTCTCCATGGCACTGAAACACATCTGCACATAAATGCACATAAATAAAGGCAAAGCAAAATCAATTTAAAAGTTAGGAAGTTGGGGATTTAAACCAGTGATAGAGCACTTGCCTAGCAAACCCAAAACCCTATGATCTTTTCTCAGCACCAGAAATGACAAAGAGTTGGAAAGACATGCCAATGAGTAAAGTACTTGTATAGTAAGTATAAGGTCCTGTGTTCAATCCCCAGAACAACCCATATTTTAAAACACTGAGCCAACCTGGTGGTACACTCTTTTAATCCCAGCACACAGGAGGCAGAGGCAGGCAGATCTCTGGGTTCGAGGCCATCCTGGTCTACAGAGCAAGTTCCAGGACAGCTAGAGCTACGCAGAAAAGCCCTGTCTCAAAAAACCAACTGCTGGACCGGAGAGATGGCTCAGCGGTTAAGTAAGAACAGCGGCTGCTCTTCCAGAGGTCCTGAGTTCAATTCCCAGTAACAATATAGTGGCTCACAACCAACCATGATAAGATCTGGTGCCCTCTTCTGGCATGCAGGCAGAATACTGTATATATAATAAATAAGTATTTAAAAAAAAAAAAGGCAACTGCTTTTACAGAGGAGCAAAGTCAATTGCCAACATCCATGTACAATGACTTACATTTACCTGTAACTCCAGCTGCTTGGAATCTAACACCCTCTTTTTCCTCTGTGAGCACCAGCACTCCTGCATATAAACAGTTCGCAGACAGACAGACAGACTGACAGACACACACACACACACACACACACGCAATTTAAAAATAAAATAATGACTTAGTGGTTAAGACAGTTGTTGCTCTTGCATAAGACCCAGGTTCAGTTCCCAGCACCCACATCAGACATCTCACAACTTCCTTTAACTCCAGCTCCATGGGCTCCCCTGCTGGCCTCCCCAAGCTATCTCATGCACATGGTGGACTTAGAGGTAAGCAGGTACACATACACATATTTTTTTTTCCATGACAGGCTTTCTCTGTGTAGCTCTGGCTGTCCTGAAACTCATTCTGTAGACCAGGCTGGCCTCAAACTCAGAGATCCTCTGCTTTTGCCTCCCTTGTGCTGGGATTAAAGGTGTGCACCACTACTTCCTGGCGACATATTGTTAATGAAAAAAAAAATAATAAATCTTTTTTTGTTTGTTTTGTTTTGTTTTTTTGAGACAGAGTTTCTTTGTAGCTTTGGAACCTGTCCTGGAACTCACTCTGTAGACCAGGCTGGCCTCAAACTCACAGAGATCTGCCTGCTTCTGCCTCCCAAGTACTGGGATTAAAAGTGTGCACAACCACTGCCTGCAAATAATAATAATAATAATAATAAATCTTGAGAATATGCCGGGTGCTGGTGGCATACTTACAGACCCAGCATAAGGTAGGCAGATACACACGTATCCTGGAGGCCCTGAGCCAGCCAACCAGCCTACTTGGCTGGTTCCAAGCCAATGAAGGAAACTGTCTCAAAGATAAAACAGCAGAGGTGCTGATAGTGCCTACAGGAGGACACCCAAGGTTGTCTTCTGACCTCAACATGCGCACACACATGGATATTTAGGATCCAAATAAAGAGGCTTGGGAAACCAAGGGACATTGACCCAAGCTGAAGAACACAGGACTCTCAGCCATAGGGATTGCATGGCCACTTGGCTTTTAGAACTTCAGCTATTGGGGCTGGAGAGATGGCTGGGTGCGGGGGTTTAAGAGCACTGTCTGCTCTTATAGAGGACTTGGGTTCAATTCCCAGGATCTACATGGCAGCTTATAACTGCCTGTAACTACAGTTCCAGAGAATCCAACACTCTCACACAGACATGAATGCAGACAAAACACCAATGCACATAAAATAAAATTAAATTAAATCTTTAAAAAAATCTTCAGCTAGCAAAATAGGCAGAATTTTCATGGTCATATTGGAGGCATAGTTTGTTTTCTTGTGTAAGCTGTGGCGTTATCTTGCCCTAGATTGCTCTCTGTTTCCATAAACACCATGGCTACAGGAACTTGTGGAGAAAGGGCTTATTTCAACTTACATCATGAAAGGGGTCAGGGCGGGGCCTCAGGGCCGGAACCTGGAGGCAGGAACGGACACAGAGAACCATGGATTATTGGCTTGTTCTCTGGGTTCACATTCAGCTATCTTTCTTTTATTTATTTAGATTTGTTTATATTATGATTATTTGCCTGCATGTATGTAGTTGTACCTTATATGTGCCCATAAAGATCAGAAGAGGGAGTCAAACTTTTGGAATTGGAGTCACAGATGGTTGTGAGTCACCATATGGGTGCTGAGAACAGAACCCAAGTCCTCTGTGAGAGCACCAAGTGCGTTTTAACACTGAGTCTCTTTCCATCCCTTAGATATCCTTCTTACCCCTCCTAGGGCTGCCTGCCCGGAGGTGGTACTGCCCATGTGAGCTGGGCCCTCCCACATAAATCATTAATCAAGAAAATGCCCCAAGACTTCCTTCAGGCCAATCCAACGGAAACATCTTCTCAGTTGAGGGTCCCTCTTCCCAGATGGCCCAGCTCTGTCATGTCGACGAAACAACCAGGCAGCCCAGATACTGACTCACCAGAGCCACTCATGAGGCGTTTCTTCTTAACAAGGCAGTTAACTTGCAGTACTGAAGCTCAAGATCCAGTTGGGCTCATGGCTGCCATGAGGTTCAGTTTGAGTCTATAAATTTGCCATTGAAAACAGCCTGCATTTTAAGAAAGACCCTGTGATCCTGGAGAGAGAGCTTTGAGAGCACTTACCATCTGGTAACTCTGTATTTATCTTATGAGTTAGGGGAAGGTATGTGTGTGCCATGGCAGGCTTGTCAAGGTCACAGGGTACCCTGCAGGAGTTCTTTCCTTCCACCATGTGGATCGTAGAGATCAAACCCTGATTGTCAGGTTTGGCCTTTACCCACTGAACCTTCTCGCCCACCCCCGCTTGATACTTCTTGAAATATAAAATTCAAATTCATCATTTCCCAGCTCTTCACTGAAAACGAGAAATCTGCTTATAAAGCTTAGTGTTAGAGGTGAGTCATCCCTCTTTCCCTCCTTCCTTTCTAAAGTGTGTTTCTGCCATCCAGCAGCAGTTTGTAGAGAGAATAGTATGCAGGTGGCACTAAGTTTTCCCCTTTGTTTACATCTGGAGGCAGAAGAGCTTCTGCAGCTACATGGTGAGCTGTATGAGGGAAGATTTGCAGCCACTGCAGAGGAAGAATGTGTTTCATATAACTTTTTAATGGAGAACAGGTCAAGAGGATGGTTTTTAAACTCATCTGGGCTTCATTTTAAATGCTTAAAAAAGCAACAAACCAAAAAACAAAACAATGGAAACAGAAAACAAACTCAGCAACTGATTTCCTTGGTTTGCTAGCGTCAGAGAGAAAGCCTGAGCCCACCTGGGTGTAAAGGCTCCATGATAGCAGGCTGGTGCTGACTGGAGAGGGGCCACAGCGTGGGTCTCGGCCCTAAGATGTCACTCTTCCTAGTTGCTGTCAGCCGCAGACTGATATTGATGGGAGATGTTTTTCTGAAGAGGCAGAACTGCTTAGCTGTTATTCTTCCATGAAACTTAAGTATAGGAAAGTAAATAAAAGAATACTTTGTGAGAAAAAGAAAAACTATGATTGGGTAACCACAAAGACATAGAAATGACTTTTAGCAACATACAGTTGGGGCTGGCAAGATGACTTAGCAGGTTCTTGCTGTCAGGCCTGATGATGTGTATTTGATCTCTGGGATCTACCTGATATGAGAGAACCAGCTCCTCTAAGTTGTTCCTGACCTTCACCCACATGCTCTGGATTGTATATGCATACATGTGCACACATACACACACAAATACCTCAGCAGCTAAAAACACTGGTTGCTCTTTCAGAGGACCTGGGTTTGAGTCCCAGCACCCACATGGCGGGTTACAGCCGTCTATAACTCCAGGTTCAGGGATCTGACACCCACATGGCGGGTTACAACTGTCTGTAACTCTAGTTCCAGGGGTCTGAAGTCCTTTAAAAGTCTCTTCGGGCACTAGGCATGTGCCCGGTGCACAGAATACGTGTAGACAAAATGCCAGTACACATATAATAAAATTTAAAAATTTAATTTGATATCGGCCTCTGACCTCCACACGAGTGCATATACACAAATATACATTCATACTTACTGTGCTCACACACACACACACACACACAAACACACACATGCACACACATACAAAATCCTGAGGAAAAAAAAAAGAATATCACTTCTTCCCAAGGTGATTTATAAGTTTAATATGATCCAATAAAAGCACAAATCAATTCTATAGTTTTTATTGAAAAATTAGGAAGAAGCTAAATTGTAAAAGAAAAGAACAACAAAGCCAGGGACTAGAGATGTGCTTGGTACAGTGCTTTCCTGGCAGGCATGAAGTCCTAGGTCTGATCTCTAGGACTGTATAACACTGAGCATGGCGATTACCCTAGTTAGGGTCGCTATTGCTGTGATGGAACACCATAGCCAAGTGAGCTGGGGGAAAAGGGTCTATTTTGGCTTGAAGTCAGGGCAGGAACTCAAAATCAAACTGGAGGCAGGAGCCAATGCACAGGCCGTGAAGAGGTGCTGCTTACTGGTTCGCTCCTCATGATCTGTTAGACCTCCTTTTTTTTATAGAACCCAGTACCACCAGACCAGGGGTGGCTCCACCTACAATGAACTGAACACTCCCCCATCACTAATTAAGAAAATGTCCTACAGACTTGCCTGCAACTCAGTCTTATGGAGGCATTTTCTCAACTGGGGTTTTCATGTATCAGATGACTCTAGCCTATGTCAAGTTGACATAAAACTAGCCAGCACAGTGATGCACTCTTGTAATCTTAGTTCTTGGGCAATTGAAACAGGAGGATTTCTACAAGTTCAGAGCCAGCTTGGACTACACAGTTCAGGGCCACACAAGACTCCAGAATGAGTAAAACAGTTTTCACAGATGAACAAACAAAAAGAATATAGTGTTGGTACATGAATTAGTAAGCTAAAGAAACAAGATTGAGGGGAGAAATGGCTCAGAAGTTAAGAGCACTGGCTGCCCTTCCAAAGGTCCTGAGTTCAGTTCCCAGCAACACCATGGTGGGTCACAACCATCTATAATGAGATCTGGTGCCCTCTTATGGCCTGGAGGAATACATGCAGGCAGAACATTGTGTAATAAATAATTAAACCTTTTAAAAAAAAGAAACAAAATTGAAAATCTATAAATTAATGAAATTGACATTTGAAAATACTGAGTAAAAGATAATATCTTTTAATAAATAAAATAGGTCAAAGTGACAGAAAATTAGAATCAATTCTAGATTTCACATCTGCCAGGATAAACTCCATATGGATGAAGTACTTAAGCGCCAAAAAATAAAATAAAATAAAATAATTTATTTATTTTGTTTTTCAAGACAGGGTTTCTCTGTGTAACAGCCCTGACTGTTCTGGAACTCACTTTGTAGATCAGACTGCCTCAAACTCAGAGATCCACCTGTCTCTGCCTCCCAAGTGCTGGGATTAAAGGTGTGAGCCACCACTCCCAGCTTATTTTTTCTTTCTTTCTTTCTTTCTTTCTTTCTTTCTTTCTTTCTTTCTTTCCTTCCTTCCTTCCTTCCTTCCTTCCTTCCTTCCTTCCTTCTTTCTTTCTTTCTTTCTTTCTTTCTTTCTTTCTTTTGGTTTTCTAAGTGCAAAAATTAAAGTTAGATAGATCCAGGGGGTTGTTCCTCAGACACACGTGTGCACAGCAAAAACTGTTGGAATAATTTTTTTCAGTCCTCCAGAAAATAGTCAAAGGCTCCTGGGCAGCAGGGAAGGATGACATTAAGAAGGAGGTAAACTGGAGACTGGGCTGTGGCAAAATGGTAAAGCACACATTAACATGTGGGTCCCTAGCAGCACACACAGAACTAATTATTAATTAAAAAATTAAATGATTGGATTTCAGTATGGCAATTTCTCAGAAAATTAGGAAACAACCTTCCTCAAGGCCCAGTAATACCACTTTTGGGTATGTATCCAAAGGATGCTCAATCGTGCCACAAGGACATGTGCTCAACCATGTTCATAGCAACTTTGTTTGTCATAGCCAGAACCTGGAAACAACCTAAATGCCCCTTGATCAAAGAATGGATAAAAAAAAAAAAGTGGTACATTTACACAATGGAGTACTACACAGCAGAAAAAAATAACGACAGCTTGAATTTTGCAGGAAAATGGATGGAGCTAGAAAACATTGTTTTGAGTGAGGTAACCCAGACACAGAAAAACAATTATCACATGTATTCACTCATAGGTGGTTTTTTTTTAAAAGAGGGCGCCAGATCTCATTATAGATGGCTGTGAGCCACCATGTGGTTGCTGGGAACTGAACTCAGGACCTCTGGAAGAGCAGGCAGTGCTCTTAACCACTGAGCCATCTCTCCAGCCCCTCATAGGTGATTTTTAAACATAAAGCAAAGAAAGCCAGCCTACAAACCACAATCCCAGAGAATTTAGACAACAATGCGGACACTAAGAGAGACTTACATAGATACAATCTACATGGGAAGTAGAAAGTAGAAAAAAACAAGATCTCCTGAGTAAATTGGGTGCATGGGGACCTTGGGGGGGGGCTAAAGGTGGGAGGGGAGTAGAGAAAAATGTAGAACTCAATAAATATTATGGAAAAAAATTTTTAAAAATTAAAAAAAAATTAAATGATAACCTGAAATGGATGACAGGGTTACAGCTCTTTCATTGTTTTTGCTGAACCTCCACCCGTAGTTTGGTTGTAGTTTGTTTCTTGTTGTTGTTTTAATTATACGTGAGTTGGGGTGTTATAGAAGTTGGCGCTGCAGCTGTGAGCCACCTGATGTCGGTGCTAAGAATAGCCCCTGGGTCATCTGGGAGAGCAGCCAGAGCTCTTAGTTGCCAGGCCATCTCTTCAGCCCCTGGCGGTAATGTTAAAGATGACAGCCATGCTCTCCTTGTGGGACCCTGGTTTCTGACTCCAGAGAGACACAGAAAGCAGATTTTAGTCTCAAAGGAAAAGACAAAGAAGGGAATAAAACATACTTAGGGAAGTAATAGACAGAACCTTTCAAATTTAATAAAAAGACTTGTATTTTTATTTCCAAATAGTTCAGCCAGTTCTGACAGGTTATGTGAAAAGTGACCCACACTGAGGCAATAATATTCAGACTGCCGGAAGACAGAGCCACAGAAAACGTTTGTTTGTTTGTTTTGAGATAGGCACTCTCTGTGGTCCTACCTGTCCTGGAATTCACAGAGATCCTCCTGTCTCTGTCTCCCATAAAGACATGTGCCCCCACACCTGGCAGAAGACAGAGCATTTTGGAGAGAATCCAGTTATAGTTATCTATCTGGGGCATGAGGCACAATGATGCACATGTCGGAGGCAGAGGACAGCTTGCAGGAATCTATTTATTTATTTATCTATTTATTTAAAATTTCCACCTCCTCCCATTCTCCCATTTCCTTCCCACTCCCCCTCCCTCTTGCTCTCCAGTCCTAAGAGCAGTCAGGGTGCCCTGCCTTGTGGGAAGTCCAAGCCCCCCACCTCCATTCTAGGAAGGTGAGCATCCAAACAGACTAGGCTCCCAAAAAGCCAGTCCATGCAGTAGAATCAAAATTCAGTATCATTACCATTGGCTTCTCATTCCGCCCTTATTGTCAGCCACATTCAGAGAGTCTGGTTAGGAGTCAATTCTTTCCTTCCACCATGTGGGTCCTGGGGATCCACCTCAGGTCAGCAGGCCTGGCAGCAGGCACCTGAACCCTCGGAGCTATCATCTGCTTTGTAGAAAATATATTTGATACCATATTTTCTTTCATGTAGAATAGAAAACTGTGTATGTGTTTGTGACATGAATGCAGAAGGGTGATTTTTTTTTTTGTTGGAAAGTAGGAGGTTGAGGTTGAGGAACAGGATAGAAGTAATGGGGGTGGCAGATAAATATGAGCAAAATTTAGTAGTGCACATGAAAAATGTCACAATTAAGCCCATTATTTTGTATACAAACAAATGAATAGTTGTACATTTGAAAGAATCATAATGCAAAGTTTAAAAATGACAAGGATTTGGGTCAAGGTTTCTAGGGTATGTCTCTTCTCAGCCGGAGGGAGGTGAAGCAACCCAACTCAGGTGAGAGCCCTTGATGCCCGGATGCTTTACCCTGTGCTTTCTCTTCATGCGTCTCTCCCCTCCACCTATACAGCCCTCTTTGACTCTATGCACAACCCGGCCTCAGACAGCCCGTTTTCCCCACCCCGTACTCTCCATTCGCCACCGCCGCAACTCCGGCATCGTTCTGAAAAACCACCATGGTGTAAGTAAACGTTCTAGTTGCCTAATCAAAAGCCCAGAGGGATGGAGGGATGGGTGGATAAGAGACCTATCCCATTAGAGTTAGGAAGGTGAGGGTGGGAAGCCTAGGAATGGGGCTGAAGAGGTGTCTCCGTGGTTGTAGCAGTCAGGAGCATGTGATGTTTCCAAAGGACCCAGCACTCACATCGGGTGACTCACAGTTGCCTGTAACTTCAGCCCCGAGGGAACCTGACACCTTTGGCTTCTGCAGACACCTGTACATTCACGTGCGCACAAACACGCACACACACAGTTAAAAATACTAAAAAATACTAAAACTAGATCTTAAAAAAAGGCCATGAATGGCTGGGACTTGTTAATGTGGTTCCCTGAGGAGGCAGAGGAGGATTATGAGTTTTAGGCCAGCTTGAGCTATATATTAAGCTCAAGACCAGCTGGGCTGCATAGCAAGAAAAAAAGGAAGAAGCTAGGCAATAGTGGCCATTGCCTTTAATCCCAGCACTTGGGAGGCAGAGGCAGGCGGATCTCTGTGAGTTCAAGGTTAGCCTGGTCTTCGGAGTGAGTTCCAGGATAGCCAAAGCTACACAGTGAAATGCTCTCTCGAAAAACAAAACAATACAAATATAGGAATGACCATTCTGGGAAGCAGTTGCCTCTGCTATTTCCAAGCTAAAGGAAAAAGTCTGTTCACCTCTGTCCTCCAGCCCCACTGAACAGTGATCCGAAGGACCTTTTACACAAAAGGGTGGAGACTCTTCGCCTGACTTCTCTGGTCTCCCTACAACATCCCTTACTGCTGTTGACTAGGAGACAACTTAAATATATAGAATACATAGAAAAGCTAAGAGCCAGAAACGCAAGTCTCACGCAGGCTTGGCGCATGCTCTAAGTCCAGTACATGGAGGCAGAGACTGAAGGTCACTGTAGGTTTGAGGCCAGCAAAGGGCCACGTGGAGCAAGACTGTCCCAAAGCACAAAACCAGAAAACAAGCAGAAGAAGCCAACAAGAGCCTGCTGCTCCAGTGACCCCCCTGGGTTCTGCTCTCACCTCCCCTGATGGGAGGGCCTTCTGCTCTGTCTTTGCTGTGACTGTGACTTTGGAGTGACGGAGCCCACACCAGCCCTTCATGAACAGAGTGAGTGGAGCTCTGCTTGTCGGCACTGCGGCCAACAGTTACAGAACTGACCTTCTGGCTCCTTGTGCCCTGATGCCAAGAGTATATCCTCAGATTTAAACTCCCTTCACCCTCCCTGAGCCTCTTCTCGGTCCACTAGTGGTCAGACCACAGGCTGGACGTTAAGGCTTCCTCTGTAACTGAGGAAAGCTCGGCTTGCTTCTCTTCTTTTTCTTCTTGTCTCCATCTAGTAGCAGACCTTCACTGGTAAACATCATCACTGAGGTGTCTTTAAAACCTTATTGGGGGGCTGGAGAGATGGCTCAGAGGTTAAGAGCATTGCCTGCTCTTCCAAAGGTCCTGAGTTCAATTCCCAGCAACCACATGGTGGCTCACAACCATCTGTAATGGGGTCTGGTGCCCTCTTCTGGCCTGCAGGCATAAACACAGACAGAATATTGTATACATAATAAATAAATATTAAAAAAAAAACACCTTATTGGGCCCAAACCATGTCCTTCCTCCTGTCCACCCTCCCCCACTCCCCCATTTTAAGCATGTCTTCTCTTGTTTCTTTATAGCCAAGATGGAGTAGGAGGAGGTACCATATCTTAAATTCAGTGGCTGAGCCTGTTCAGGGTCAGCCTTGTCAACTTTACAGATTCTCTTTGGTACAATGTATTTAGGTGTCTTGCTGTTTCTAGACTCAGTCATTGTTGATACTATGTGATTTAGTATATAGTTGAAATTCCATTGATAAATATGACACTTACAAAAGAGAAACTTTTTTTGCTAGAGGCCACACCCTCCTGTAGATGAATTGAAGACTTTAAGGTTCTCATTATTTTTACTAGTTCTCATTTTTCTAGATTTTGTTTTGAGACACTCTGTAGACCAAGCTGGCCTCAAACTCAGAGGTCTGCCTGCCTCTGTCTCCAGAGTGCTGGGATTAAAGGCATGTGCCAACACTTCCTAGCTTTTCTAGATTTAAAAAAAAAAATGTGTATGAGTATTTTGCTTACATGTATGTCTGGGAAGGTCAGCAGAGGGCTTCGAATCCCTAGGAAATGGAGTTACAAACAGTTGTGAGCAAACACATGGGTGCTAGGAATTGAACCCAGGTCTTCTGGAAGAATAACCACTGAGCTATCTTTCCAGCCTGTTATTTTTTATTATTATTTTTAAAGACAGGATCTTACTATATAACTCTGTCTGGCCTGGAACTCAGCATGTTGACCAAGCTGGCCTTGGTCTTGCAGCAGTCTCCTGCCTCAGCTCCCAAGTGGTAGAGTTACAGGCATGCATCTCTGTGTCTGGCAGGACCTTTCTTGTCTTTATCAATACATGTGCATCCACTTCATTTGGGGTTCCCAAGAGGATTGAGGAAATGAACTTTGATGTTTTCTTTGTGTAAAAGATGAAATCTTACAGCATTGTATGTCTGAAGACCAAGACGGTCTTTGTTCGTTTTTTGGTTTTTCAAGACAGGGTTTCTCTGTGTAACAGTTCTGACTGTCCTGGAATTCTGTAGACCAGGCTGGCCTCAAACTCAGATCTCAGCCTGCCTCTGCCACCCTAGCACTAGGATTAAAGGTGTGTACCACCACACCTGACCTAGAAGGTCTTTTTTTTTTAAATTTATTTTTGGGTTTTATTTTTTTCCTTTTTTTAATTAAGAATTTTTTAATACAATCTTTTCTCATTTTACATAGCTATCCCCATCCCCACTCCGTCTCTCCTGCCGCCCCACCCTACCCCCACTTCTCATCTACTCCTCAGAAAGGGTAAGGCTTCCCATGGGGAGTCAGCAGAGTCTTCTCTTCGCTTCAAGGCAAGACCAAGGCCCTCCCCCTATATCTAGGCTGGACAAGGTATCCCTCCAAAGAGAATGTACCCAGTGTGGTGGTTTCTCAGAAAACTGGGAATCAATTTACCTCAAGACCCAGCAATACTACTCTTGGGTATATACCCAAAGAATGCACACTCACACCACAAAAATATTTGCTCTACTGTGTTCATAGCAGCATTGTTTATAATAGCCAGAACCTGAAAACAACCTAGGTGTCCCTCAACTGAAGAATGGATAAGAAAAATATGGTACATTTACACAAGGGAGAACTACTCAGTGGTAAAAAAAACAAAAAAAAAAAAAACAAAAAAAACAAAAACAAAAACAATGACATCATGAAATTTGCATGCAAATGAATAGAACTAGAAAAAAACATCCTGAGTGAGGTAACCCAGACCCAGAAAGACAAACATGATATGTACTCACTCATAAGTGGATATTAGACATAAATCAAAGGATAAGCAGCCTATAGTAGACGATCCCAGAGAAGCTAGGTAACAAGACCTAGAGGGTCTTAACATTGGGTCCACGGATCGTTTGTGAATGCCATGAATCATACGGAAAGATCAGCGTGAACAGTGGAAGATAATCCATGTTTTCTTCCTTGTAGAAATCATGGATTATCTTTTCCTTGGAAGATAATCCATGATTTCTACAAGAGCCTTAATGATGTCTGACGGCCCTACCCAAAAGAAAAAAAAGAAGAATTGTCATTTGAGAACTCTGTTGTAGTCTCCCTAGTCTTCCATCTTTAGGCCAACAACAGCAACAACAACAGCAACAACAAATCAGAGTTTTTTCCTCACACAAGATGCCAGACCAGAAGGCAGCAGTTCTGTAACTGTTGGCCGCAGTGCCGACATGGAGAGCTCCACTCACTCTGTCCATGAAGGGCTGGTGTGGGCTCCGTCACGCCTGCAGGCCGGGTGATAAGGGAAGGGTCTGTTCTCACTGGGGCCTGTCTCCCCCTGGTGTCTCCCTCGAGCCCACTGTTCATATTGTCCCCAAGAACAAACAGTGACGGGGTAAAGACAGCAAAGACATCAGGGGATGTGTGAGGGCAGAACCCGGAGCAACAGGCACTCGCTGCTTTCTTCTGCTGCCGTTCTTTCCTGGCATCCTCATTTATAGGTTTTCTTTATTGTTTTCTAGCTTTACCAGAACTTTCCAGGTAGACCAGGCTGACCTTGAACTTTCAGTGCTCCCACTTGCTACAATTGCAGGTGTGAGCTATGGTGTCTCGTTCCTGCTTTATAAAGTTTTTCTACATTCTCTTGCTTACTTATTTCTTGGGATAGCTCTGGTTCCAGAAATACATTGGTTGCTTTAAAGAATGGTTCTTTTTTTGATCTTAACCAAAAGACCAAGGAATGTTTTCCTTTTTTTTAATACCTGTTCTCAGGTAGCCCAGGCTGCCCTTTGATATGTATAGCTGAGGATGACCTTGAACTTCTGACCCTCCTACCTACCAGGTACTGAGATTATAGGTAGGCACCACCATTGCTGAATTATGCGGTGTTGCACATTGAACCCAGGGCTTTGTGCATAATAGGTGCTTGGCACTACTGCTGAGCCACACACATAGTTCACTCAACTGGGAGTATTTCAACAGGATAATATTGTCCTCATTTTCTCCCCTTCTTCCTACCCATATCTTTACACTAACCCTATAGAACTAGAAACTAAGGAGGTGGAACCTGATAATCAGTATGTATGTATTCACCACACTTCTGATGTGTAACAGATATTGGGAACCATTGAGACAAAATGTTCACATGCATCTCAAGTATGAAGGGGGAACCATAGACATTTGGAGTTGGCATCAGAGTGTTTGTGAGGAGACAGGTGAAGTAGGCCTTATTCTCCTGACTCATAGATGAGCCTTAGCATTATTCCTCTCGTCTCCATTAAGCTAGTGTGGCAGTTCCTGCGCAGAGCTAGCTCATGTCTGCACATTTCGGAAGAATTCAGACCCTCTTTCTCCAAAACTTGAGCAGCAAAGCAGATGTGTTCTAGTATTTATGTGCATGCATCGGCAGAGCCTCGTCTTCCAGCTCGTTTGACTTGACCTCTTAACTTTGCTTTATAGACAGCAGTGGTCCTTCCAGCACCGTGTCCAGTGCTGGCCCTTCCTCTCCTACCGCAGCGGATGGAAACTCACATTTTGGCTTCAGTGATCAGTCCTCTGTAAATACACATATGACTGAAGAAAACCAAGGCCTTGGGCTGCTCCGGGAGCCTCCTGGAGATGGAACACAAGAGTTCCCTGTAGAAAGACAGCAAGAGCTTGTGGAGCCCGATCACTCTCCTCAGGAGTCACCTGTGGAAACCAGCCCTCTAGAAGGCCAGGATGTTGCTGAGGTCAGCCAGGTATGCCAGGAGGTCCCAGATACCACCCAGACATGCTCTAGCATCCTTGAGGAGGTCCCTGACATCAGCCAGCTGTTCCTGAAGAACTATGACACTACCACCAGCACATGTCAAACATGCCAGAAGGCCAACCAGCTGTCTCAGAAGGCTCATGAAGAAGTTGGCCAGCTTTATCAAGACAACCCTGAGGAGAGTAACCAGCTGTGCCAGGAGGTCCCTGTGGAGCTGGGCAGGATGGCCCATGGAGTCCCTGTAAGCGTTGGTAGCATGGTCCAGGAAACAGTTATGGAAATTGGCAGGCCAACCCAAGAGATCCATGAAGAGATCGGCCCGCCATGCCAGGAATTCTCTGTGGAGGTTGGCATACTGGCTCAGGAGGTCCCTGCCATCATCGAATTGTCTCAAGACATTCCTGAGGCTGGCACACCATCCCAAGAGTTCACTGAGGAGGCTAGTCTGCAGGCTCAGGTGGTCTCTGAGGAGACTGATCAGGACTCCAGGGAGGATCTCCCCCAAGGCCAGGGTCCATCTAGTGATGCAAACACTGAAAGTCAGTCTCTGGCCCGTGACCAGCATTCATCCCTTCCATCAGCAACATGTAATTAGTCGCTTTCCCACTGGTGTCCTCCACCAGCCATCTGAGCCAGGAGCCTTTCTGTTGGCTGACACACTAGCCAGAGCAAGGCCTGGGCTCACATCAGGGATGTCTGAGGAAGTAGGCCTTCTGGCATAAAACATATGCCTGAGGGGGAGCTAATTTATGTTCAGAGCAGCTATTAGCTCTTCACTAGCTGTGGGGTAGGAAATCGTAGATTGTTCAAGGAAATGCCACTTAACTGTTGATACTGTTGAGGGGACAGCAAATATGCAGTGGAAGGCAGAAGGCTTTCTACTTGTTGAAGGAAATATTCCCAACTTCTTAAAGTACCCTCAGACCATATGTGCATTCAAAGAAGCTTTTGTCTTCACTGTCACAGGCAGGCCCAGGGCAGCCGCCCGAAATGTCTGCAGGATAGAGTTGCCTTCTCGCAAACATCTGTCATGGCCACTCATGGTTTAAACTGGGCTTATGGGTGTTTCTGTACAACTGCCAAGTGCTCCCTCTGCCCTAGTCCTGCTCCTCTGGACAGTGACTCTAGAGAAAAGTAGATATTAGATTGCCATGCAACTTCAGGGTGACTACCTGCTCTGGGAGATTTGGATCAATCTATGAAGCTAGGCCTCCTTTTGTTGTGAGGCTGTTGGGTTTAGAAGATGCTATAGTAGAGAGAATCAAGTTCTATTTTAAGCAATTAGCAGAGATCAATGTTGTACAGACATGAGCAAAGATTTAATATATATATATATAAACATATATATTTCTGTAGTTTGCCAGGGACTGGCCAAAGATCAAACACTCCAGGGTCCCCAAGAGGTTTGTCCTTATATCATGTGTCTTTAGGACCATATATGATTATGAAGCTTTTCCCAAAGATCTAGGGGTGGGAGTGGGCGTGGATAATACAGTCATTCGTGTCAGGGGCCGGGACATAACGAGTGCTCAATAAATACGAGATAATGAGAACACGGGTGGTGTCGCCTTTGTGAACTCGATAATCAATAGGTAAGCCAGTTGTGTCTGTGACTGAATCAATCAAAAACTATTGTAATTGAGCAGGGATTGGCTTTAAAAATAGAGAAGTCTGGCATTTGAGTCCCTGTAGGGTCAGTCTATCTTCCCAAATGTTTTTAATGAGCAGAATGCTGAGAAGTGTGATTGGAACAAGATTTGAGCTCTGTGAAACAGCAAAGGCCACCTGCCTTCTCACCAGCTCCCGAGAAACACAGCCTAATGTCCCGTCTAGTGCCTTGGAGGGGAGCTGACATGAAGAGGTGATGCCTGGTCTCTGCTCCATTGACATCTTTACATTGGGAAAGCTCAGGACACTGGGAGGACTAGAGTGTCCCTTTTCCATATCTACATTTATAACCTGACCACTTATGACATACCCAAGACTATAGAGGGAGCGGGGTGGACGTTAAAAGGCTCAGAGTTTTCTGGGGAAATACAGTGAGTGATTTTGACTCCATAGAATGCAGATCCCATCCCCTAAGCCAAATGTATATGCCCACATTTTTAAGCCATTTTCAGATTGTTTGGTGTGTTTGTTTGTTTTCTTAATTTTTATTTTTGTTTTGTGTGTGTGGGTGTTTTGTTTGCATGCATGCCTGGCGCCCACAGAGGTCAGAAAAGGGTGTTGGAGCCCTGGAACTGGTGTTATAGAGAATTGTAAACTGCCATGTGGGTGCTGGGGATTTGCTTCAGTCCTCTGGAAGAGCAGCCAATGTTCTTAACCACTGAACCACCTCTCCAGCCCCTTGGGGTTTTTTATTTGTTTGTTTTTTGAGACAAGGGCTGACTCCCTATGTTGCTCTGACTAGCCCAGAACTCGCTATGTAGCTCAGGCTGCTCTCAAACTCCTGATTCTCCTGCCTCTGCCCTGAGTGTTAAGATCACGATTCTCCTGCCTCTGCCCTGAGTGTTAAGATCACAGGCATATCCATCGCCCCCTGCATCTTCGCAGACATGATGCTGGTTCCCACATCTCTTCCTCCTCTCACCCATGCTGTTTCTGGCTCCCCTGGGTCCTGACATGGATTTGAATAATCAAGAGTCTTCCGAGATAAATGATGCTGACTGGAGCAGAGAGATGGAAACCAGGACAACTGAGTCATGTATGGAGTCTGGAGAAGCCTAAGCAGCACTACACCGTCTGCAATGAACTTGATTTATTGTTAGACTTGAAGGTGGCTCTGTTACAGCAGCTGGGAACTGTAGCGGGAAGTGTGGGGAGGAGCAGAGCACAGCAGCGGGGGGGGGGGGGGAAAGGGAGCTGGGAAGAACATGGGATGGGCTCCTGATTTCCCATTGGCTTGACAGAAAGCAAGCCTCAGGGACCACCCGCATCTGGGTCTCTCAATCCAGCAGGGTTCAGCAGGACTGCCCCCTGGCTTGCCTGTGGTGAGGTCCTTTCCTGTAGTAGAATGCTCAGCCTGTCTACTTCACTCTGGAGGAGATTAGCTATAGCTCTGCTTCCTCTCTTCTTTTCCCCTCCCCTCCCGTTTCCCCCAGATTCTCTAGACCAGCCTCTACCTCCCAGAACCTCTGTCCAAGAGTTTGGGTTTAGAGAGGCAGCCAATGTTCCCATTTCAGCTGCAGGATGGTAGAGGATTTGGAATGTTGGGGGAGTCACACATGGCTAAAATGTCAGAGGTAGGGGTGTCAGGAGTGTCAGGCAATGGCTTATTTTTAACCCATTACACACCAGGCCATAGCAGATGACCACATGCAGAGAAGCCAAGCAGGGGATGAGAAGGGATCAGGACTGTTGGGACGGGGTAAGTGAAGACTACATGATCAGGGAGCCTGGAGGATTGGGGTTGGGGCTCTCCTTGCCCTTTGTGCTGCCCAGGTGGCCTGGTCTGGGCACAGCCCTAGATGGTAAGTAGTATGAAGCTGGGGCTGGGAGATGAGATCCTTTATCCTCTCCCTAGTTCTTGGTCTAAAGAGCTTCAAGTTTTGGATTGAGACATTCAGATACTGAGGGAAGCAATAAGACAGTGTAGCAGCCATCTGCCCCCGGGTCCCTGCTAGAAGCCATACCCTGGTGGCTAGGGCATGGGAGATGGAGGAGAGAGCACAGCTCTGGGTACCTTACCAACAGTGGCCTTCCCTACGTCATAGAAGTTACTGGCAATCCTTTCTGGCATGCCAAATAAATAACGAGGTGGAGGGGGGACGTCCATCTCCCTCCATGGGGGAGGACTGTGCTCTCTGAAACCCTTCCTCCTCATCTAAGACCAACATTTGGCAGTGCTAGGAGAGGGTTCCAGGCGTCAGGTGACCTTGTGTAGCTTCGTATCCCCCCATTACCTTTGGTTTTGAGACCCCAGGAACAGATGAGGGGAAGGCCACTACCTCCCACTTAGCCCAAGTCCTCACACATGGCCTCGCCCTGCTGCCCAGCTCCATTTCCCTCAACCCCAAAGGACTCAGCAGTAGCCATTCTCTATGTGCGCTGTAGGAGTGGAGCCTTGGGGAAGGGAGGGCGGGTCTATTCAGAATTCGATCTTGCAGGCTGGAAAGGACTCGTCCTGCATCACCACGGTGCTGCTGCTAGCCAGGACCAGGACGTTCAGTTGCTGCTGTTGCTCATGCGTCTGCTGGTACCACTCCCGAGTCACCTCTGTGTCGTGAGTGGGGATCAGAGTCACCTAAGCGGAAGAAAACATGCCTGAGGTGAGCACGTGAAGGAAAGACAGATGAAGGGGAAGGAACACCTGGCAGTCATAAATGAACGTGCTGCCGGCGGGAAGGACTGTGCCCTCTTGTGAACAGGGGCTGTCCTGCTGTTGCCTTTGGCAGAGCTTCGACCAGAATCCTCCCCTGTGTGTCCCTTGCTACTCACCTGAAAGTTCTCTCCCCACTGGGCCTTGCCTTCCAACAGGGCATCCAGCACAGCCCGGCTTGGCTCGCCGTTGGCAGGGTCATTCCCACTGACCACATAGTAGGATGCACGCACTCGGCGGAAGAAGTCCAGATCAGCAGTCTTGCCACTGCAGTGATTTGGGATGTAGGCAAGATCCACATACACAGGGGGGCCGGAACCACCCTTGGAGCCCAAGGCTGCTGTGGAGACAAGCAGAATGCATTGTAAAAAAAGGTGTGGGGGGGGGCAGTAGTGGTGCATACCACTAGGGAGGCAGAGGCAGGTGGATCTCTGTCTGAGGCCAGCCTGATCTACAAAGTGAGCTCCAGGACAGCAAGGACTACACAGAGAAACCTTGTCTTGAAAAATGAAGGAAAGGATTATTTGGTTGCCTCCATGCTGGCTTGAAGAGCTGGAGCCTTTCGCTAGCCCGTACCTACTCCAACCCACAGTATTTCCGTTCCCACTTGTCTGACATACTCACTGGGTCCTGCCTTGAGTCCATTGACTAAGCCTTTGGACATGGGACTGTGTCCATCCTTTTCTTCTGCTGGGGTGACCTGGCTTGGAGTGCTGCGTGGCCGGGGTAGGACCCTAGATGTTCGATCTGCAGGCCCTTTACCAGGAGTAGGTGACCGTTTTCCCCGAATATCCAGACGCCGCGCAGGAGATGCTGGCTTGGCCCGGCTGGGGGCCCTGCGCCCCAGTCGCCCCTGCACCTTCTCCTTTTCTCGTAGTCTCTCAACTCTCCCAGACTCTGAGCTGAGCCCCTCAGGGTCAGCCATGCAGACATCTGGTCGGGGAGGGGAGGGGCGGGGGTCTGGCTGGGGAACCGGGGGTGGGTCATGGCCAGGCCTGGGGTGGTGAGTTCCACTAATTCCCCCGGCCTTGTCCACAGGCAGGAAGTCCCCATCTTCATCTGAGTCGAGGGCTGCCTCAGCTGTGATGGACGGACACTCCTCAGTTTCTGGTGGGACATCAGAATCTGACTGTGAGGAGCCTGAGTCACTGGCTGATGTGGGGGGTGTCTCATCAGCCATAGGGCATGGGCCCCCTGTGGCCCCTGGCCTCCCTGCCCGGCGCCTCCCTCCTTTTCCTACCAGCCGAGCTTCTTCAGTTGAAAGGTCACTGTCATCTGTGGATGGGGGCAGAGGTGGGTTCAGGAATGAAGGAGAAAGCTCCCCGCAGTGGGGGCGGGGCTCTGTAGCACATCCCTGAGGTCCAGCCTCAACTTCAGGAGAAAGACTACAGTGTGAGCCACCAGGGTTCTTCCCAGGATGCTCAGATGAGAGAAGTGTGTCCGGCCGGGAGCGCCTCTCAGCTCCCTCAGGCCAGGACCCCCATTCCCAAGCAGGGCAGGCCTCAGCAGCATCTTCTTTTTCTACCTTGGCTGTGGCAAGCCCTGGGGGATTGGGGCTGGTTTCTGCTAGGCCATTGGCTGCATGAATTCCAGAGAGGCTCTGGAAGGGGCTTGGCTTCTTGGTGAGTTCCCCTGAGCACTCCAGGCGGCAGGGCAGCGTACCATCATCCATGTCTCCAGACAGGCTTGGAGCTGGAGCTGGAGCTGGAGCCAAGTCCAGTGAGGGTAAGGGGGCTGGGCTCAGGGGAGTAAGGCCCCAGAGGCTGTGGGCAGCTGGCTTCATTCCTGGGCCCAGTTCTCCATCACCCTGTCCAGCAGTCTCTAAGCCAGGAGGGAAACGTTCAGCCACACTTGAAATTACAGGTGTGGTAGCCTCAGAAGAGGACCCTTCAGACAGGGCTGGAGAGGCTGGTCGCGGCAGATTGGAGAGGAGAGGGGCCTCAGGAGAGCTGGGTGACGGGAGTTGGGGTAGTGAGGAATCCAGGCTGGGCGCCTTGGTTACTTCCAGGTACTCATCATGTCGGGTTCTGGTTGGAGTTCCTGGAACCAGGGCCAGTGCTCGATCCCCAGAGAAGGCAAGGGAGCCACAGGGTGCAGAACGGGGTTCAGCTGGAGAGGGCAGCTGAGGGGGAGCAGGCTGCAAGGAGGAGAAGCCGAAGGCTGAAGCAGGGAAGTCCAGACTTGGTCGGGCAGGTCCTAGATGTGAGTCTGAGGAAAGGCTTGTATGTGCCTCCGTT